CTCCCCCTCCCCCTCCCCCCAAGCTCAAATCCAAATCTCCCCCCTCAACGACCGAGACCGCCACCTCGCAATGCGCTCATTCAGCAACAACAACAACAGCGACTCCGAAAGCGTCAGCCCGCTCGTCTCGCCGGAGACAACGCCCACCAAGAAACCTCTGCCTGCGCCGGCTCGAATGCGGGGTCATATGAATGTGAATGTGAATGTGAATGTTAAGCCTACGGTGCAGATGAGGGGGGCAAGGGATACGGAACCATCGAGGGATGGTGCTACCGCTACCGCTACTGCTACCACTAGGAGTACTCGGGTTCCACGCGCGGAAGCGGAAGCGGACAGCGGAACGGGAACGGGAAGGGGAAGGACACCAGCGACAACGGCCGAATTATCGGATACGGGGTTCTATCGGCAGCGAGCGGAGTTGCCTGCGAGGATGGAGCGGGAGTTGATTAATGTTCCGTGGAGCAGGAGGCGATGGGAGGAGGAGGGGGGGGAGGAGCGGGGAGAAGATCTTGGTCATGCAGGTGGGGATAGCGCGAGGGCGAGGGAGAGGAAGATTGTGACGGCGGATGGGGCGGTGATGGTTGCGAGTATTCAGACGGTGGGTGGGGATGAGGTTTTTGATTGATCTTTGGGGTTGTTTCCGTGTGTATCCGGTTGTGGGTTGTGGGCTGTTGGTGTTGTTGTTGTTGGTGTTGGTGTTGGGGAAAGGAGGTTGTTTGGTTTAGCCTGTTGCTGTTGCTTTCTTTTTTTCTTAATTCTTTAGAGGATAATCTTTGGTTGTTTATATACTTATGTACCTAGTACTCCATTAGACCACCCAGTCGACTATCCCGAGTCCTTGTCTTCCACACCTGCATTTGATAAGTTGGGCTCACCCTGCCCGGTTTCCTGGCTGCCGCCAGCTGACGGAGTGCAGGTCCTAGCAGTTATAAGAAAGGGGGTAGAGGAGAATTAAGGAGTAGTGCAGCATATGGAGTGCACTAGCTGGGGAGTTACTCCGAGCTGCATGAACCCAGGAAAACCGTTGCAGACCCTAACTACGATCTACTAGACCATCCCGATTCATATGGCCGCACGCAGCTTCGCGATACCCTAGAGCATCTTCCCTTCGGGGAAGTTAGCTAGTCAGAAGTGTCCGGGTAACAGCATGTATTGATTGACTACATTTTTCCTCTATAGAACGCGCGTTCTATTCAACAAAATGACGTCATGTGGCCTCGACCCTCAGAACCGTCAAAAACAGGCCCACCCGCTAGCCCTAGTATGAGACCGTTGTTATGTATCTGTGACTGCTGCTTCTATGTATCCCTTCCTGCACTGCTAGCAGCAGGACATTGTACTTCGCCAGCATGGATACGGCGGTCAGCGGTCAGAAGTATTCAATGTATTAGTATAACCCTAGGTGCACAGTTGGAAGCAGGATTCCCCCACAGGAGGCACGGAAAGGTACCACCCCCAAGAGAGATGATATATCTATATGCCGAGGTAACCAAGGGAGTATAGCGATTTACGCCCTCTGACTGAGGCGCTCTAGGCGTGATTTAGCAATAATACATCTCTCGTACTTTGGCCATCTTCCAGCGACGACCGCGGCCACACCGCCTTTCAGTATGGGCAGTAATAGCGCGTGGTTCGATGACCTCTGCAAGGACATGAATATGAAAATGAGGAACCCTAGCTGGAGACTCCCTCGCCCATGTGCCCAGCCCCTGGTACTTCGTCGACAACACAAAGACCTTTGCCTGTGCCGTGTTTTATTCGCACCGAAGACCAGCCGTCACCACAGAGCCTCTCCGTCACCGCACCCACCTCGACGCTTCCATACCATGGCTAACGCGCCAATGGAAGACCTATACCACCCGGAGGTAGATGTTGAATATCTTGAGGAATATGTTCCTGGCGGGTACCACCCAACTCTCATCGGGGACACCTTTGGTAGTGGCCGCTATACTGTCGTTCACAAGCTTGGGTTTGGTGGCTATTCAACAATTTGGCTCGCGCGGGATCGGCAACGCCAGCGCTATGTATCGCTAAAGATACTGACTGCGAGAGCATCATCAGATAGCCGCGAGGGGGAAGTTCTGGAGCACTTGATGGAGAGTGACCTTACTCATGTCGGAAAGCAATTCATTCCGCGGTTACTTGACCAATTCTCGTTTCACGGTCCAAATGGACATCACCGGTGCTTGGTCGGAGAACCGGCTGGAGGGAGTATTGCGAAGTCGAAGGAGGACAGCACGGACTTGATGTTTCCACTGGACGCTGCGAGATCTACTGCCGCCCAGCTCCTTTTAGGGCTGTCTTATCTGCATGCAACCGGGGTATATGCCACGGAGGTGAGGATCTGTGCATCTCTGTTTCCTTGTTTTCCTGATCTTGCATACTGAATCAGAAGCAGATCTCCATCTGCGCAACTTTCTCCTACGCATACGGAACTTCGACGGCCTAGGCACAGCCGAGCCATACAAGCGCTTCGGCGCACCCGCCGCGGTTCCCATCCGGCGACTAGATGGAAAGCCCGGGGATCCCTGCGCCCCGCCGCATGCCATCTCTCCCATGGCATTGAGCCTGCCTGCCTGCCCACGAGCTGGAGGACCCCGAGATCATCATCTCGGATTACGGCACCTCCTTTCTTGTGTCACGGACACCCTCACCGACCCTCCACACCCCGGCCCTGTACTCCCCACCCGAGGAATTCTTCAACGAACCCATCCTTCGGCCCACCGCGGCGGATATCTGGACCCTCGGCGTCAACCTGTATGAGGTCTTGGGCGAGCGTCCCCTGTTCGAAACATTTGCCTGGGACCGAGATGACATTGTCGCCGAGATGGTCAACACACTGGGCCCACCGCCCTTGCGATGGTGGAATGCCTGGGCGAAACGCTCCGAATTCTTCGAGGAGGACGGGTCCTGGGGTCGCGGATTTCCGCCGCATCAAGCACCCCGGTCTTCCGGCGTCTGCGTCAGCGTCTCTGGGACATGGGCCGCGGCGAGACGGGGCAGACGTGCACATGGGACGTGGCCGGGGGTGAACTACGGGCGCTCGAGGACCTGCTCCGAGCTATGATGGCGTTCGAACCTACGGAACGGCCCACAGCCGACCAACTCCTGAGGTCGGAGTACATGGTGCAGTGGGCGTTGCCTGCGTGGGAGAGGCAGAAAAGCCGTCGGAAGAGCGCTCAACCTACCGATGTTTGATTTTTTTTTTTTTTTTTTTTGGTTTTTCACCCTATCAACAGTGAGGGGACTGGCAAAGTGTAACGGTCTTCTGATATGGTGTAGAAGAGGATGCGGGGCGCACTGTTGATGCCCATCGCCGCAGGTTCAAGTGTCCCAAATTGTGTTGTTATTTACAGCAAGCTGCGCAAGGCTCCAGGCTGTCATGACCGGGCTGACTATCGCGTACCCGATCTCTCCATCTCCAACCTGAACCGGCGGAAGGATCGGATGTTGCTGGTCTCTGCGAAGAACATGTGAACCAGTCAATTTGAAATTACTCGCCAGGAGGACGAGATGGCCTGGCAACGGCGAGAGACGGCCGGGAGTCACTAAGGTATGATATCGTAGGTAGTTTGGTAATGGTATAATATGAAGCGGCCCGGCTCTATACCTGCCTGCCTTATACAGAATTCTATACCGACTTGATCTAGTACCTACTGTAGCACCTCCACGACCGTCCACGTAACCGTCCAGCCAAGCTTCCCCCCCAACTTCTCCATCACCCGCCGACTCGCCCCGTTCCCCATCGCCACATTTGTATGCACCAGCATCCCCTCCCCAGTTTTATCCTCCTCCCCGTTCCCGTTCCCGTTCCACCACCGCCCATCCTCCACCATCCCCCGCCTCATCGCCTCGCGCGCCACCCTCCCCGCCAGCCCCTGCCCGCGATACTCCGCCTCAACATGCAACGTCGCCAGCGACCCATCGGGCCCGAGGAACGCCCACGCCACAGGATTCTCTGTCCCTCCATCACCCGCTCCGGCCGTCGGCGCATAGACCGCCGCCCCGGGCAACATAGCCAAGGTCGCATCCGACCGCGGAATCACCGTGCGGCTCCGCACGAGGGCGAAATGCTGGGGTTGCACGCCCTGCCGGCCGTCGCGGGTGTGGAAGCGGAAGCCATCCCGACCCGTGGCAGCACTACTACCACCACAATCACCATCCCGGGGACAAACCACCTCCTCCCTCCCAAACAGATACTTGACGTACGGCGCGTGGTCGTAGCGATGCACCTTCAGCCCCGGGACGAACGACGCCGATCCCACGCCCGAAGTATACACTGCTGCCAGCGCATGCTCGTCGGTTTCCGTCGAGGTCGGGGTCGGCCCCGCAAGAAGCACCGCCAGCAGCCCCGTGTGCAGATTCCCGATTAGAAAGGCCTGCGGCGGGGGTGGGGGCAGCTGGTGATCTGTTTTTGTTGCGGTCGTTGTCACGGGTCCCGCGGCCGCGAGATGGGCGGTGTACGCCGGGAGCAGGTGGGTTTTGATATGTTGGAATAGGGCGAGGAGTTGGCGCCGGATTGTCTGGGTGTGGTTTGAGGACAAGAGGGAGAGGGAGCGCTGGGAACCGGTGCCGGTTTCGGTCCCCGTGCTCTTTGGCCCGGGGGCGTGGACGCTGCTGGGTAGAGAGACGTCGACGTCGACTGAGGAGTCCGCTTCCGCGCTGCTGTAGATCACTACTTGGGTCTCGCGGCCGGCGTGTAGGTCGATGTAGGCTGTTAGCCAGGGTTCTTCTTCTTCTTCTTCTTCTTCTGGTGCGGTGGCTGGTGCGGTGGAGCGCGGGGTCTCATGCTGGTGTACTGCAGGAAACGTAGCCAAGACGGTGGCGGTGGAGGTGGGATAGGCGAGGTGGTGCTGGATCCGACGCAGGAGGGGGATGGAGTAGGGGAGCTGGGATTGGAGGCGGGGGAGTATCCCAGACGATGAGGACCAGGTTGACGGAGGGTGCTCGTGAATCGTCACGGCATCCGGATTGGGATCTTGATCCATCGTGTTGGGATTTGGGGGCGGGTTGTACAGTACAGTACGTTGCCAACCACTTGGTTGAATACGGGGTTTGTTGGACAAGGGCTGCTTTTTTTTTTTTTTCTTTTTTTTGGCTTGCAGGATTGTTGCTGGACTGTACAACTCGGTTGACCTTTCCTCGTTTCTAAGATCTGTATCTATCTTCTGACGTCTCGGAAGGATTTATTCAGGTCGCTTAGCTCGGTTGTTGACGGACGGACGGACGGACGGTAAATCGGAGGATTTACCTTGGGGTGCAGTTGACAACAAGGTAAAAGTCAAAAAAAAGCAAGCAAAAATATCCGAGTTCTTGTCGGTCGATGCTTGGCTTGCGATGATCGGCTGGAATTTCAAATATGACAGGTCAAGGCAGAGGAAAGGTTCAGTTAATTTACATTCATGATCCCAAAAGGTGTGTGAGTCACGTTGGGAGCCCCGGGCGATCGCCATCTACACTAAGGATTAGTGCAGTTGACTTACTCTGTATAGATTAGTTAGTAGAGGTGAGTTACCCAAGCAAGATAAGTCCCCCAAGATAACGCCCTACTTGACTAAGGATAGAGTATTTGTCATGCTGACACTGGTGAGTGGTGACAGCCTGACAGCTGGAGTGTCGGACTGCCTTTGCGGGTAGGAGTAATTAAGATTCCTGGGCACTAGACATTGACTTATTGACTGAAAGTCTGAAACGAGTTTAGTGATGGAAGAAAATCCCCCCCAGATTCACTGTTCAGCCGGTGCCTGAATTAAAGCTCGGATTCCCCGACCAAGCCAAGAAGATGAAGATGGGCGGTGCAAGCCAGCCAGCCAGCCAGCCAGACAGACCTAAAACTAGTGTGAGACTTGGGGATTGGAAACGGAAACGGAAACACAAATGGAAAAGGAAACGCAATCTCAAACTCGACCAGGAGCCAGTGATAGGTCACCTATTTTTGTCCCACCCCGACAGGTCCCCTCATGCATTAGCCGTGCAGGGCAGGGGCATGGAAAAGAATCTTCCATGGATTGTTCCATGCACATGTGGCTGGCTGGCTGACCGCCAGTACCAGAGCATAGAAAAGTTGACACGGAACAAGATCCCTGACCCCATGTGGGGGGGGATTTCCCCTTTTTCCTTTTTTCTCCTGCCCCATCTATTTCCCCTCTCCTTCACCGCACCATTCACCATTACACCATTCACCACTAAGAGTTCAGCTTTCAGCTTTGGGGCTTGGTGTCTCAATGCAATTGTTTTAGCGCCGATGATCGAGGGATTGACAGGTCCAGGGTGCTGGGTCGCGTGCTTTTTTTTTGGATCTCGGTTTTAATTTTCCGCCCCCATGGCAGGCCTGCTCAATGCCCACCTGGCAGGGTGGTATTGTACTTTATACAGTTTGTCGTCTAGTCTGGTCTAGTTGGATGGGGTCCACGACACGATTTGGAATTTGACGCTCTATCTAGTATCTGCAATCTACACTAACTTGCAGTGCTATACCCGATAGTTAGTGGCTCATCTTAATTGATCCTCATATTACTTGGAGTGTCTTACATGTGCACTCGAGACAGGGTAAGGTTATCAGTCTGCTAACCCGGATACAGGAAGGAGATAGACCTATATGATGATCCTTCTATCATTTTTGCGATTGCAGTAATCATGTTCGGCTGCAGAAATCATGTTCGGCTGCAGTGCCAATCTAACAAATGAAAATCGAAACGAACATAGGAAACGTAGCGCCAGAAAAGAAAAGTCGTAGATCATCATGAATCCCTCCACGGACTCCGAGGCCCCACCATCCAATCCTCCATCGCCAGCCAGTCACTCCACCGCGATTCCGCCAGCCGCAACTCCTCCTCCGCCGGCGCCCGCAGCGGACGCAGGAAGGGCGTCTGCTCGTCCGGCAGCAGGTCGTACGCCGCTTTGGTCGCCGCCCACCCGCTGCTCTTCGCCGTAAACAGGTACGTCTGCCGCTCCTGCTGCACCACACAGCCCACCCCGCCCGCCCACTCCGCCCCGAAGAAGGCCTGCAGCACCTCCGGGCTGTCGTGCGCCGTCACCACGAGTCGCCGGACGTACCGCCGCAGCTGCACATGTGCTGCTGCTGCTGCTGTTCGCCCCCCTGCGTCCGAGGAGGAGGTTTCTTGCCGCTCGACCCGCTGGCACGGTAGACGGATGTTCAGAAACGCGGCCAGCGATAGAACCGCGGGTGAGAACTGGCCTTGCTCGAGGAAGTACTGCGTGCAGCGTAGATACTGCGGATACCATGTGTCCAGCAGGTCGATCGGAGTCGAGGACGGATCTGCTGATGGATTGGCGGCCGTGTCCGGCGGGATCGACCAGGAAGAATGTTGCGGATGCTGTTGCTGTCTTGCAGCAGCAACAGATGCAGGCGGTTCGGTAGCAGTGGACGAGTATTTGGTCGAAGGGGTAGAAGACGACGCGGGCGTGGATGGCCCGCCGCCTGTTGGAGACATATTCAAAGGTCTAGAACCGGATTGAAGTTCAGTTGTGTCCAGCCAGAGAGATTCTGTTTGGCCCAAGGGCCTCAATCTTTAGACGTGCTCAGGAAGGTCATAGCAGATTGAAAGTAAAGGCTTTCTTACTTGCGGGGAAACAGTCGGGGGAAGCGATGGGCGACTGATCGGACCAGTCCATTGAAGGAGAGCTTCGCTGATAATCGTGTTCGGAGGGAATTGGACTTAGCGCCATGGGACGTAGACATGTGCTGGCTGACCGATGCGAATGAATTAAAGTCGCACGATGGATGATTGGGAAGGAGATTCGACACGAGGGAGTCTGGTCCTTATACTTCTCGGGCCATCCCCTCGGGACAAGGGGGGATGGCGGCCAGCCCGATGGCCATCCCGAAGGGGAAAGAAACCAGGCCGAGCATCAGTGCAACAAGCCCAAGCTCACGGCGAGGGGCCGCATGACAGGGGAGTGTGGAGAGCCGACGGTCGACTCAGGGTGTGAAGCTATCCCGACTATTGACGCCCTAAGCGGAGACGGACAGGGTCAAGCCACGGGCTTCTCCGCCAGACCGCCACGGATCTGTTCGCAGTCCGCAGTTGTTCGGTGCCGGCGGGGCCGTAGTAGCGTGGCTGTGCAGCCCTATTTTATAGGCCTGAGGCGGCCAGGCATGCAGATAGTCGACAGGGAAGATGGGATGTACTGTACTGAGCAAGGTCTCGCGTCCTCGCTCCTCGCTCCTCGCTGCATCCTTGTCGCGGTAATTATTCAGTAGGTTATAATTTGCTAAGCCCTCCAATAGTCTGCTTAATGCTTACCAGTCAGCACATCTATCCATTATCCAGACCCGAGAACCTGGACACCTCCATGGCGCTAGAGACACCAGGATTTGAAAAACACGGACATTAGCGGCGATTCGCTTATCCCAGCCTTTGATAGGATCATAGGAGACGAAATAGATTAATATTACGATGAGTATTAAGAGCTAGCTGAGGGCCTAAGAGAAGAAAGGTGAAGAATAGCGATGGAGATGGGGGAGTGGAGAGGATTTTGGGGGGGGGGAGAGGGGGGGCGAAGGGAAAGGAGTGCGTAAGTTACTAAGTTACTCGTAGTAGTCAGCAGCCTGGCCTCCCATCCGCCTCCTGAGAAAACAGGCTCCCAGGCAGGAATCAATAGTCACCCACCGATCTGTGACAGCTCCGCTGCGATTCACTCAGTCTCCATTCCCCGCACCAATGTCTCCTGTGGCCCTCCGACGCAATCGTGACACAAACCTCCTCTTCCCACTCTGGTGGCCATTTTGACCAACTTCTCCTTGTTCTCCAACCGAGAACTCCGGTAAAAAAAGAAAAAGGGTGTGTACAGGCGCGTCACCATACATATGCAACCCCCCAGGAACGGCACAACGTGGACGATAGTCCGACCTGACCGGCTTTCTCCATGCAAGGGGAAGCAGGCGACAGGCTTGATCGCCGTCCATCGGACACACCGGCCACCGGCCTCTCGGCCATGCTGGCGGTCGATCAGCCCTCGCCGGCTAACGAAGGCTAGCCTGCGAGCGAAGCCAAAGGCTGCTTTGCTCAGTTGCTTCAGTGTGCAGTCGATGCAGCAACCGACTAAACCGACTAAGCAGTAGTGCTGCATGCAGTCCCCGCTCTCTGACGCACTGGATCCGGATTCGAAACCAAGTGCCTGACCCAAGTGGAGTCCCACCTGCGGCCATTCCCGATCGATGACTGGATGGTCACAAATGGACAGATGAAGATACTCTCAGCTATCCTGCTTAGGGCCAGCTAGTTCCTGAGAGCATCCGCCAGTCAGCCTGGACAATGCGGTCGCCGTCAGAAGTGCTAAATTCAACCCAACCCGTCGGACCTGAATTAGCCCAGGGCAACTGCGACTAGCCCGGTTTCCGCCCGGTTTTCGCTCTAAATCGATCTGGCGACGGCTGAAGTGATGATGAGATCATGCCTGACCTAAATTCAAATCAGGCCCGGCGATGCGATCCATCGACTCCTGGTCGGCCGGAACGACTGGGATTATCCTGGTCAATGATCCTCGCGGCTGGGATCTCGTAAATCGTAAGCCATCGGTGAACAATAGATTGGTTAGTTGTTTTATTTTTTTGGAGTGACAAAAAGGAAAATGAAAAGAAGGTTTTGATTTTCTAATTGTTGCCAGGATAAGCGAACGAAAAAAAGAAGCAGTAACGAAAAAAAAATGCCAATTAAACAACAAGGCTAGCCAGGGTCAGGTCGATGCGTGGCAGCTGCTCCCCCCACCTTCAACTAAAACCAGCCAGGCGTGGCTGACAATCTCCTCTGACCTCCACCAGGGCACGGCTGTTCGGCCGCATGTTATATAACTATCAAGGTTTCTCCCGAGCTTGTCTCCATCCAGTTCCAAAGTCTCTTCAGAGAACGTGTCTCTCTTTCAGCAATCACATTCTTCGTCGACTCAATCGCGAGATCTATATCTATCGATCGCTATCCTCTGCTGTTCTACATCGTTCTATACTACGATCCAGCCGAACCATCTACACACCCTACAAACCACCTTCGATCTCTCTCACATCACATCAATCACATCTTTCACAACCTCACAACCACCATGACTTACAAGAGCAACTACGAGCCTTACGTGAGTACCACGCCAGCCTCATCGTCCCATCACCGCCATACTGATAGTCAACAGACCAGCCAGAGTCTGGACATTGACCGACAACGCTCTCCCGAGGAGATTCTCTACCCACTGGGATCACTGTATCCTCACGTTGTCGCCCTTCAATTGCAAGCCGATGAGAACCCATGGGCCAAGGCCCGCCACCTCGCAGACTATCCGGATACATGCTACTGGACCGATATGTCTTATCCGTCCACCCCGGAGCATTTTTCGTCTAAGCCCAGTGGCCGCCGATACAGTGGTATGTTCGCCCGCCAGTGTGACCTGTCATCCCCGGTGCATGTGAGCCACGCTGATCCTGATGCAGACTCCACTGCCGGCCGCTTTGTTTCGCGTATTCGTCGCTTTTTGAGTCGAGACGAGCTGCGCCGACGCCAGCGACATGCCTGACGGGCATTCCTTCCCTTCCTTTATCCAATCATCGTCTCCCTAGGACATTTTTTTGCCTTCATCTGATCTTTTGACTTCGCATTTTGAGCCTTTCTCTACTCTTCTAGACTTCACACACAGCGCAAATACCCTGTCCGGGACGACGGCTTTTCATTTGTCATCTTGTTTTGTCATCATCATCACCATCACTACAGACATTCTAGATCTCACTCCTTGAGGCGTTTCCTTGTCCTGCCACTTGGCATTTCTTCTCTTCCCCAACTGTTTCATCCTTGTCATGTCTTATCTCTCTCCATGTTATCATTTCGGATTTGGTTGGTTTTAGCGAGGAGTTTCGGGCATCAGACGCAAGGGGGGATATACACCTGGTACGAACGGTTTCGGGATTAGCATAGTGGTCGACTTTTACACACTTACGGATAGCGAATAACTCTAATGAATCAATGTGAACTCACAACCGGACCTCCCACGCGTCCAGCCAACTGTAATGCTAGCTAGCCCCTTATTGCTCCGTAGGGAGGAACCTTAAACTTCAAACCCAATCTAATCAGCTCCGTGACGGACTGGCCTGCCCCCCCGTCCCAGCCATTGCTCCATTCTTCCGTCTCATCTGAGCTCACTTCCCCCCTCCTATTGTTCGACTCAGGTCCCCGACGAGGGGGTGGGTGATAGAGAAGCCCGAGTCCCGACACCAACCCATCTGACCTAGCACCTTCGGGCTCCTCAATCGAGTAAATCTGCTCCCCCCCTCTCCACTAATCCCCGCATTCCTCCAGTCGTACCGCCCCGATCAGGTGGGTGGGATCCGACAGCTCGCAAGAACTCCCAGTCTCATCTCCGCACGCGGTATATTTCTTACCTGCAGGACAACGGGGGTGGACCGTCGTCTATCGTTCAATAGTCTTGCTGCGTATGGATGATCGGAATATCACGGTGGTGGTGGTGGTGGTGAGTGTCAATGCGCACGCACAACAACCAATCGTCTGCAGGAATCTTATGTGGTTGATACATATCAGAGTTTCCCCCGTTCACGAACAAATGCATGCATGCATGCATGCCAGCCGCGACGATTGTCCCACGGACCTCCTGCTGATACGGGTGTACCCGCGCTGACCGCGAAACTCTACTGCACTGCACTGCACCAAGTGGTGGTGTGGGTGTTGTGGGTGTGGTGGGTGATCTTCTTTTTCGGCCGCGAGCATTGTCGGTTGTGGCGGGCAAAGAAAGATATTGTTAAGAGGAGGGCGATGGAGTACTGTCGATGTCTGGATCTATCACATTGAAAGGGAGGGGGGGCTGGATTTGGACAATGGTCTGCTCCCTGCCCACATGCAGAGTTGAGGTTCGATTGCTGGAGGGATTCGATAGTTGGGAGGGGGGGTGAGGGGATTAGGGCTCCAGTTCATTAATTGATGAGTATGCATGCGGATTTTCGTCCGCGTTGTTTTGTTCTCAGGAGGGTTGAGAGGTCAGTGGGGGGAGAGGAGTCCTATCTTTGGTGCGCGGAGGGTAGAGGGCCGGTGAGTTGAGGATTTGGATGTGGGAATCTCCGAATGAAGCTCGAGGGTTGCCGGAGGTTGAAGCTGGATGGATTATGGACTATGGGGGTTGAGGGGGGGAAATTGATGCGGGGGAAGGGAAGGAAGAGGAACTGGCCGGGGGTGTTTGTCGATCATCCAGGGGAGGCCCTGAGAGAGAGAAACACTGCCACTTCCACACTTTTCCTTCTCCCCCCCTCCTATTCCTATTCCTCCTCCTCCTCCTCCTCCTCCTCCTCCCATTGTTCGACACTTCTCTTCCTCTCACTCGACTCCTATCGTTCAGTCTTTCTTTTCTTTTTCTTAATCACCTCTCGTCTCCTTACTCCGGAGTACAGTACATCACATATAACCCATTATTGCCGTTGAACCATGCGGCTTCTCACCCTTGGCCTCTGGATTGTGCTTGCTATCTCCCCGGTCACTGCCAAATTCAGCACGACTTGCTTCAAGGCCATCGTTGCCCTCACCAGTCGTCCGCACGCGCTCCTCGAGCAATTCCAACAGGAGATCTGCGACCAAGGCTGTCGGCCGACGGTCGCGCATTGGGACCTCTGGACGCGCAACCAGACCTTTCTGCCCGCTGTCCGCAGCCTCCTGGCCTGGGTGGATCACCCGGACCAGCAGGAGGAGGCGATGATGCGCCTGGGGGACGAGGTGGCCGGGCTCATCAAGCGGCAATGCGGCCCGTTGCTGGACGGCGGCCGCGATGTCTGTGCGGATGGAGAGACCCTGACCGCGTTCGGCACCTGCTTCAAAAAGAGTTTTGTGCGGGCCGCGCTGGTTCACCTGCCCCGGTTGCTGCCTTTGGCTTCCGAGCCCGTCTGTCAAGCCCAGTACGAGTGGGTACAGAAGAACCAGCTCTGGGAGGAGATTATTCCCAACAAGATGCGCGAGTACGCCGCGGTGTGTGGGCAATTGGGGGGAGAGATGATGGTGATGGGGGAGATGTATAGTTTCTAGCTTTTCTAGCTACGTACTGTATAGTATATTATCTACTCGTATGTACTCAGTAAGTAAGCTGCGGCATGCATGCAATAATACCCTTATCATGTTGTTTTATTGCCTGCTGTGGCCCGATCGGGCTTATCTCCGTTTCCACCCGTCGATTAACTCCGGCCCGGCCTTCCTTCCGCCGCCGCTTTAACTCGACCGCCTCACGTCATCCTCTCTTTCTCTTGCAGCTGCCACCGCAACGCCATCCTTTTTTCTTCATTCTCCCAATTCAACCTCGACCAATTTTCTTTTTCAACCTCTCTCTCTATCCCGCCATGCCATTTCTTCCGCTGGATATCTCGGTATAATGGCATCAGCCATTTATCTGCGCCTCCTGCGCTCTCCCGTTGTATCATCTTCTCCTCTCGTCCGCACGCGTGCCCACCACCACCACTACCACCACTTCCAGTTCCCAGCTCCGCCGCGGCGGTACCCAGCCCTCTCCAGCCGCCGCCATGTCCACCCCGGACGATACCAGCCCTTCGTCCCGCCCTCGCCGGCCTCCCTAGGCAAACCAACCCCAGCCAAGACCTACACGCGCACGCGCAAATGGCTGCGTCGCCTCATCTACCTCTCCCTCACCGCCGGGGCGATCTACGCGGTCGACAACCAATTCTACGCCGCCAGCCTGACCCGCACGGCGCGCACCTTCGGCCTGGGTCTCCTCGTGGCGCTGGACTACAAGATCAACTTCCGCCCCAACCCTCCGCTGGCCAGCTCCATCGCCGCCGTGCACACGCGCAACGCCGAGCGGCTGTCCGACCTCCTGCGGCACAATGGCGGCCTGTACCTGAAGATCGGCCAGGCGATCGCCATGCAGTCCGCCATCCTGCCGCCCGAGTTCCAGAAGATGTTCGCGCGCATGTTCGACGATGCGCCGCAGAACGACTGGAAGGAGGTGGAGAAGGTCATCCGCGAGGACTTTGGCGGCCGCTCCGTCGAGGAGGTCTTCGGGGTCTCCTTCACTGGGGAGCCCGGCAGGGGCCTCATGGAGCGGACGGCCCGGGCCAGTGCCAGCGTGGCGCAGGTGCATTGGGCTCGTCTGGCGGATGGGCGGGAGGTGGCGATCAAGATTCAGAAACGGGAGATCGGCAAGCAGATCAAATGGGATCTGTGGGCTTTCAAGTATGTTTCCGGCTCACTCCACGGTTTTGTAGTTTATTGGGAGCGCATGCTAACTTCAGCAGGGTTGTGACGTGGATCTACAGCCGGCTCTTCGATATCCCGTTCTACAGCCTGGTCCCATACGTCACCGAGCGACTCTCCCTGGAGACGGACTTTGAGAATGAAGCCGATAACTCCGAGAACATGGCGCGGCTGGTGGCCGGCGAGCCTCGCCTCCGCGACCGAGTGTACATCCCCAAGGTCTACCGCGAGCTCAGCTCGAAGCGGGTGATGACCGCTGAATGGATCGAGGGCGTCCGCCTCTGGGACAAGAATTCCATCACGCGACCCTGGCGTGGCGGATGGCGTCAAGGCACCCCAGGCTGCCACGGAACGCCGCTCGACCCGCCGTCCAGCAAGGCTCAACCTAACCCCCACCCCAACTTCGATCGCAACGGCGCACAGCTCAAGCCCGAGCGCACCCACTGGCGCGGCGGCTACAGCGACAGCGGGCTAGGCCTCTCCCTCAAGCAGGTCATGACCACGATGGTCGACCTCTTCTCCGCGCAGATGTTCCTGTGGGGGTACGTCCACTGCGACCCGCACCCGGGGAACATCTTCATCCGGCGGACCCCGTCGGGCAACCCGGAACTCGTCCTCATCGACCACGGCCTGTACATCCACATGGAACCGGCGTTCCGGCACCAATACGCGCGGTTCTGGAAAGCGCTCCTCACCTTCGACAACACGACTCTGTCGGAGATCGTCTCCTCGTGGGGGGTCCAGAACACCGACCTCTTCGCGTCCGCGACCCTGATGCGCCCCTACCGGGGCGGCGACCTCTCGACCCACCGCTCCGTCTCGCGCACGCTGTCCCCGGAAGACCCGGGGACCCTGCACTACGAGATGCAGCAATCGGCGCGCCGCGCAATCCGCCAGATCCTGGGCGATGAGGAGAAGTGGCCGCGGCCGCTGATCTTCATCGGCCGGAACCTCCGCATAGTCCAGGCCAACAACCAGTTCCTGGGGAGTCCCGTCAACCGCGTCAAGATCACGGGGACGTGGGCGTCGCGCGCGCTGGCCGAGGACCGGCCGGAGGGGGTGGCCGCCCGGGTGCGCGGCGCCTGGGGCCATCTGGTGTTCCGGGTGGTGTTGTTCGGGACGGATCTGTTCTTCTGGTTCACGAAGGTGCGCCAGTTTCTGCGGTTGGGGGGCGGGATGGAGGATGAGATCGAGTTGCAGATGCGCGGGGTGGCGAAGGATATGGGGGTGGAGCTGGGGAGTAATATCTTCGAGGGATAGAGTCCTTCGGGTCTGGTGGTGGGTGGGTATACACTGTACTGTACGTCATACACATACACTTATATACTCTTCTCGGATTCCTTTTGTAAGTTGGACTCCGACTCTGGATATGTGCGATGCTTGGCTTGGAATCTACTCCTCGTCTACAATGATAACGAGACCAACTCGCTCCCTAAACTGTTCACAAGAGTCGCCAGTAACCATTCTGAATGCATGCGTCCGCGAATAATCCCTATACTAGACAGACCTAGATTGCGCAAGCTAAGGCACACTAAACCCCCAAACCCTCCTAAACCCAAAACACCAAAGCATCATGATTCCTCCCAATAACAAACGCCTCTTCTCCCCCCATATCAAAAGATTCCTATCGCAATGCCACCCGTAATCAAGAATACAATGCCCCCCCCCCCCCACAGATTAATTTATCCACAACCCCAGAGCTCCCAATCCCCAATCCCCAATCCCAATCCCCAATCAATGATAAGGTTCAGTCAATCATACCCCCACCCCGACGCCTCCATAATCCCGGCCGGCTTCCACTCCTGCCCCGGATACGCTGTGCTAAACATCACGATCTCGGCCTCGGCCTCGGCCTCGGTCTCGTCGTCATCGTGCTTCCCGGCCCTCTCGCTCGGGGGTTCGGTCGGCTTCGCCACCTCCGTCGAGGGGCTGGGTGGTTCGGGATGTTGTTGCCCCTGCGACCCCCTCACCGGCATCAGCGACTCACTCGACCCCGGTAGCGCCGGGAGATCAACTTTCGTGCACGGCGGAGGTGGCGGGAGCGGGGACGGGGTCCTGCCACCACCACCACCACCACCACCACCACCACCCCCGATGGTGTCCGTGCTCGTGCTCGTGTCCGTGGTAGATCCCCCTCGGCGGAGGAGGGGCCGACCCGGGCCTGGGCTTGGGCTTGGACTGTGGGGATGGGGCTGGGGCTGGGGGCCGGGAGTGAGGAGGGGTATCGTCGTAGTTCGCCAAGTGGTTACCCCTCTCCCTTGCCCTTGCCCTTGCCCTTGTCCTGGCCCTTGCCCTTGTCCTGGTCCATGTCCTGGTCCATGTCCCGGTCCCACTACCGGGGATAATCTCTTCGATTTCGGCGATATCGAATCTGCTTCCTGTTCGGGTGCGGGCGCGGGCGCGGATTTAGAGCGCTGCTGCTGCTGCTGCTGCTGCTGCAATGATGGGCGCGGCGGAACGAGGATGCTGTTCTTGCCGATGCTGCGGAGGACTTCCCCTGTTATGCGGGCGGACCATGTTTCTGGGGATTCGGGGTGGAAGCCGGTGGTGGTGGGGGGTTTGAGGATGGGGGTTGAGATTGGGGTTGAGGTTTTGTGCTGTTGCTGCTCGACGTGGGCGTCGTCTTCGCCGCCAGGGATGATCAGTTTCCAGGGCAGTTCTTGGTCGCCGGAGCGGCTGGTGCGTGGGCGTGTGCGGAAGGTGCCTGGGTTGTGGGCGGGGTCGGTGAGGTCCATGGGCTGGTTTCTTTGTGGATGGGGATGAGGGGGGGTGTTGTGGTGAGGTCTTGGTTTTGGTTATAATTCGGTTATGGTCTGAGGTGGGGTTGGGGGGTGGGTGGAGTAGGGGAGGTGGAGGTGGAGGGAGGGTTTGGCGTGAATCTGCGGTCGGGATAGAGGTAAGTGATTGCTGCGGCTGACTTTGTTCTGGTGCATAAGGCACGGATATGGACATGGATATGGCTGGGTCGGAGGTGGAGTGGGAGTGCGCCCGGCGGGAAGAGAATCCGGGGTAAGGAAATCCGGGGTAGGCCGAGGGCCGGAGGTGGATCAGGCTGCACCTGTTCAGCGTGAATATCGGTCGAGACTGCTGCGGATGTTGATGGATGAGAACTTGGAAGCTAGTGTGGTCGAGGTGTGGAAGTTATGATGGTGTTCTTGATATGTCTTTGGCGGTGGTGGGGTGGATGCCATGGGGGCGAGCAAACTATATCGAATGGTTCTGGGTTGATGCACGCTTGCTAGATATTGTATCGTTTACTCAATGGTGAGTCGAGTGTTTCGGTGCTTTAGGAGTAGAGGGGTATGAAGTACTCACTACAGATCATTTTAAGCGATTGAAGTGATTTATATATAGACTAGGCTATGATGTGGATTGATTAGTGCTGTTTACGTGCACTTGACCGTTGGATGAACCGTACAGCTGATGGTCTGTTCTACATGCGTGCTATGGGATATATTGCCAAGATGCGAGTCTTATGACATGAACCAGCATCATTGGTCTAGTGGTAGAATTCATCGTTGCCATCGATGAGGCCCGTGTTCGATTCACGGATGATGCAATGCTTACCTTTTTGCTTCCCTTTCCCATTTCTACACCCGTGGTAAACTACTACTTCCACGGACATCCCAGCAACACAACCTTACATTACATATTGTTTTTGCATGTCAATTCCAGATTGATAGCTAAACCTAGCATAGTCTGCCAACCCTACGATTTCGACACCACGCAAATCGCAATCCCCGCCAACACCAACGCCATCCCCAGCCACGTCTCCCGAGCGATCACCTTCCGCTCGACGTACCACTCGCCCAGCACCGTAAATAGGAACGCGCTCGAATTGGCCAACGGCACCGTGAGGGAGAGTTCTATGCACCGAAAAACGGAGTCAGTGAGTATTTGCAATCCCCAAATCCCTCATTCGTTTTCTAGGGCGGAACATACCATGCTTCCCCACCAACAGAAAGAACCAAATACTCCCTGTCAGGTTCACCACCAACGGCACCGAGTACGCCGGCGTCCGGAGGAGGTTGACCACCGTCCAGAACACCGAGACGATTTTCGTCCGTAGCCAGGATTTTTGTGGTTGCGCATGATGCACTGAAGACTGCTGACGCATCCAGACGGGTTGTTGGGATGGCGGGGGTGGGGGGAGGTCGGTTTCGCTGGCGCTGTCGTTGTCGTGGCTATTGTTGCTGCTGTCGGGTGAAGGACGGTTGTGTTCGGAGGTAGAGATTGGGTTCAGGGGCACGGTTTCGTCGTCGCTCTCGTGGTCGCTATTGCCGTAGGTGTTTGAGGAGGTAGAAATAGCAGTAGCAGGGTCGTGCTCGCCTTGCGACAGCCCGGTTCGCGCCTCCTGGCGCGCGTTGAAGTCGGCGGCGGCGCGGCGGATGAAGGGGGTGGTGAAGCCCCAGGCGACGCCGACGAGGAGGAAGGAGAGGATGTAGTTGAGGACCGGGGGTTGATCGGCCGGGGTATCGGCTGCTGGGAGCGGGGTTTCCATTTTGGATGGAGTCTGGGAGGTTGGTGTTGAATTGGGTGGTCAAGAGTTGGGAGATTTAGGGGGAGAGAGAGGTGGATGGATTGATTGATTGCGATAAGATAACAAGCGGAGGGCTGCTTGCGGAGATGTCGGAGAACTATCAATGGTTCACATACGCTAGACACCTCATTTCCAAACTTTTCCTTCTATCATTGGCTACCTAGCTTGGATTCCTACTTTCCAATTTGCTATGGTTATAACCGAGATCATCTGCTCCAAAAAGCGGCTTTTGCCACGAAAAGGCTCTCTTGCAGTTAGGTAACTTGTAGTACAGTAAGACATCCGTAGATGGCAGGGGCGACTGAGCGGTTGCGGGCAAATGAAGGCACGCCGAAGTCCACACATGAGCTCTCTTCTCTGTCATCTGTCATCTGTCATCTGTCCTCCACTTCCCAATGACGAAACCAGATTGTCTTCCTATGCAATGACTTGCGACATCCCTGTGGTGCCTTCTGGTCAGAACCGAGAGAGATTCCTGAGTGACACGGATGACAAGACTAGCCAATGGCTACTTGAGTGGACAGGCAGAGGTAACAAGGGTAACAGCACCGTCGAGAGATCGCTGTCTCGCCAGAAGAGCTTTTTGTTTCGGATCTGTCACGATTGGCGCTACAAAGCTGACATCTCCACTTGGTGGCTCTTAGAGCGGACTATGATCCCTGACCCCAGCCTGGTTACGTCGAAACCATGATAGCTCCTCAACCAAAGCTCGCTAATTGCTGCAAGACGCCATTTGAGGTCGACCGGCGCACAGATGACCAGACGCACTGCTCCGCATCGCAAATAATGATCGCTTGCCGACATGCATATAAACCCAGGCTAGCCCCCGGCACGCCTTCGAAAACAATGAAACCGTGGTCCACTCACAATGGTTCCATCTGCTACGATCGAAAATCTGGGAATACTCCTTATAGTCTATTATGGTGGTTGGATACTCTATGCCAGGTGGCTCCATCCCTTGGCCAGATTCCCCGGACCTCCTCTGGCCTCGATTTCGCGACTATGGGTCGTCCTGCATGTTGCCCGTGGCAAGGCAGTGATTGAGCAAAAAGAGCTGCATCGCAGATACGGTATGCTAGCAGAGCACTACAGTCGATTGCCCGTACGATGATTCTCACATTCTCCAGGGCCTATTGTTCGTATAGCACCAAACGAGCTCATCATGAATGACGCGCGATCCTTGAAGGCTATATACGGTGCTAATTCGGGGTCTCGAAAAGTGAGCATACGGCTTTATCTGGCTCATCCTTCCAAAATATCTGATAACAGAACCCGTCTGACTACCTAGACCGACTTCTACTTGGCTTTCCGTCCGCCTTCGGGTAAGTCTCAGGTGGCACAGTCGATTGCATGACGCTGACGCCCTTCTAGCACGATATCCAGACCATTTCTCAGCAACCGACGAACAGTTGCATGCCCGCAGGCGACGAATCGTGAATCATGCCTACTCAATGTCGAATGTGCTCCAGGCAGAGAAGTACGTAGATAAGTGCACCGATGTTCTGCTCGAGCGCTTCGCGGAGCTCGCCCGACAAGGTGCGACGGTCGATTTCTTCCGGTGGGTTCGAATGTAAGTTCTCAAGCTAGAATCACGCAGCCTCAAGCTCAATCTGTACGGCAGGTATGCATACGATGCAGTCGGGGAGTTTTACTTTGGTCGAATGTTCGGGTTCCTCCAGAACGGACACGACCACCTGGGCTACATAGCAGCCACCGACGTCCTGATTCCAGTCATGGCAATCGCTGGTGTCATGCCTTCGTATATACGTTCAATCTTCATGTTCGTTGGGCTCATGTTTGGCCGGATACGAAAAGCCTTCGGGGCGCTTGGCCACCTCACAAAAGCAGCCGATATGGTGGTACAAGCCCGCATAAGTGAAGCGACGAAGGCAAAAGAACGTTCCGGTCATTCAGACATTCTCACGCGGATCTTCGATATCTATTACGACAAAGGCAAGTCCCTTGATTTTGAGGTGACGGACGTGAAAATGGAGGCTTGGGCTGCATTGTATGTCGCCGTCGAACCCAGTGCGCATTAATCACTAATGAATGCGCAGCTTTGGTGGAAGCGACACTACGGCTATTACAATGGCGGCTACTATGTTCCACATCGTAAAAGATCGGCGGATCTATCAGACATTGCTCGAGGAGATCGATACGGCGACTGCCAAGGGAGAACTGGGGGCTTCGCATATTGCCTACAACGAGGCCGTGAAACTACCGTTCCTTAGCGCATGTCTCAAAGAGGGCATGCGAGTCCATCCAACCATAGCGTTGACCTTGCCCCGTCAAACAGCCAACGAAGAACGAATGGTATCTGGCTACAGGATTCCCGGCGGCACACGGATTGGTGCGAATGCGCCTATTGTGCAATCGGACCCATCTGTTTTTGGGGAGGATGCAGACGAGTTCTGTCCCGAGCGTTGGATGCGTCCGGGAGCTGATCGCCTGGGACAGTATATTCTGCATGTGAGGAACTCTGCTAAGCGATGAAAACTTGGAGTATGTGTACTAATTCTGGTGCAGTTTGGTGCAGGGTCTAGAACTTGTTTGGGAAAACATGTAAGCTCGCTTTACACTAATGTTTTCTACTGCGACGACGTCGGTACTAATGCATCTTGAAGATGGCGATGTGCGAGTTGTACAAAGTCATACCACAGATCCTCCGGACCTTCCATCTAGAGCTCGATTCGCCATCCGGCCCCTGCCTCGAAACCCAAGAATATTGGTTCAACAAGCCCACTGCTGTCCAGCTGAAGGTGCAGCGGCGAGAGATTCGACGACCAGATTAGATACTGTTGATAAACACCGTATGGCTACCATCGTAACCAAGAAAGCCAACCAACATGCTTGAGCAAAGATCCACTTCATGATTTCTGCGGGGTGCTGCCATCCCATGTAAACTTCTGGATATGTTCGACTTTAACGTCGTTGATCTCGAAGATCCTAACCCAAGGTCGATAAACCGGGACAATCGGAAGCTTAGGACGTCCCTCCCCACAGATCGAGTCCAGATCGATGCCAAAACACTCTTGATATGCACTGTTCAACTCGGGCGACCATTTCTTCTGTGCGCTCCGTCAGCAAAGCCCACCCACCGCAACTTTCTGGTGTACCTACCTGAGCCCGACAGAGCCTACCAAAGCTTCTGAGGAAGGACCTCGACTCCGCCCACGAGCGAAGCCTCGACCCGCCATTCCCCAAAACCTGATCGAACCGATGGCCCTGCGCGCGCCACGCCGTGTAGACGCGGAACCCCTCGCGGCCCACCGCCACGACAAACGTGTGCGCGAACGAGGTATAGTCCAGATCGCGGTTCTTGATCTCCCCACGATCGAGCATCTCCACGTCCACCAGATCGACCCCCAGCACCGTCACCGTGGCGACCTTGCCATCGATCGCGGCCTTCTTGGCCTGCGCGAACCGCCGCGACAGGTCCGCCGACCCCGTCTTCCAGATCTCCGCCATCGACGGCAGCCCCCCCATCTCCTGCGACTGCCACTTCAGCGCCGCCAGCGTCGCCCCCCGCTCCGCCGGGCTCGCCAGCACCAGCACCAGCGTCGCCGCCACGTAGCTGAGATGCCAGATCGACGGGCGCGGGCGCGGGCGCGCGGGTTTCAGGCCTCGGTGCGGTGGGTAGGCCGACGCGCGCGGGCGCAGGTCGACCGCCGTCTCGCCGCGCAGCACGGCCACCCGCAGCGCGGTGATTCGGTGCGAGGCGGCTTGGATGCCCTGCGCGAAGAAGGTGTGGAGTTCCGAGTCCAGGACTTCGAGTGCGGTGGTCGGGTTGGGGTTTCGTGCGGTGAGCGCGGCGCGCGTCGCTTCGGCGGGGGGCTTGGGTGTGGCTGTCTTGGTGGGGTCGTTGTCGTTGTCGTTGTTGTTCTGTTTGGTGGGTTTGGGGAGTGGGTGTTTCGGCTTGGACTGTTTGGGGCCATGTGTGGAGCTGTGGATGTCGGGCTTTAGACTCGATACAGTAGGTAAAATGTTGTGTTGTGGTGTGGTGTGGTGTGGTGTGGTGTTTGCCTTACCTCGATCCTGTAGCCTTGCCTCCATCGCGTTTCTCTTTGGGGTCGGGGTGGGGGTGGGGCATGGTGATCGAGCGAAAACTAGTCTGCACGACCGGCTTCTGAGACACTGGATACCGTTGCCAGCGAGTGTAGTTGACAAGAAGAAAGTGAAGCAGCTATGTAGGCGAGGGACGAGGTGGTGTTGTTGGTGTTGTTGTGAGAGGGAGGTTGGTGGGAAAGGAACAAAGAAGTCTCACCAGAGAAGAAGGGGGATATGGATATGTTATGAACAGACGTCGCAGACGTGTTATGTGCGGTGCAGTGAATATTCTCGGTGTAGCTTACACTGTTGAAGTGAAGCTTGATCACGATCCTGGCTCTGGTGATGACACCTGAGGAATGGTTTGTGGGCAGGTGGCTGGGTGGGTGGATATCTCATCTCCCAGAGGTGTTGGTGTTGATCTGAGTCCCTCCCTACTGTGAATGGATTCTCTATCTGAAGAGCGGGATGATGGGATGTTCTTTGTGGCTCTATTCTGTCTGTGCTTGTACGCAATGAGGGGTCTTGAGATCTGAGTTTTCTGGTCCTTTTCTGGGCTTTTCAGTGGGTATGGGAGGAGGGTTCGCCAAAGGGTCTTCTGGATATACTTGTGTTCGTCGGCGATGGCTCGACACATTGAAACAATGTATGCAGAGTACCTCTATTCTCTACAAGGCTATAACCTGAAGGAGTCTACGCGATGTTAGCGGATGAGGATATGAGGATGAAGAGAGATAGCCAAGTCAATACAGTTTGAGGCATGCGAAGATCACAACTACGCTGCGCTTCAGCCTGGAGAGCCCGACTATCTAAATTGCACATTCCTTTCCATGGCTCATATTGCCTTATCTCCCTTAAGTGTCGGGGTAGTATACAGTGCTGAGCGAGAAAATTGCAGGAGAGAGTATACCAAATGCTCTGCGAATACCCAACGCAGGTATCATAGCTCCCTCCGGTTAGCTCACAAACAACAAGCATAGAACATCCTCCTGCTCTTCAGGCACTAACTACAGCACCTCATAACAACTCGCTGCGGAAATGGAAGATCAAGACACTGGCAGCACTGTACGCGATCGCAATGATATTCTCGAACGCGGCGGCGCCCTCCAAGTTGGTGTACTCGGGTGGCAGCCGAAGCAGCTTCTGAGCCCCCGCGAGGATCCATTCATTGTCCTCCAGGGTCAACTTCGGTTGAGGGTCTTCTAAGCTGGTCAGGAGCTCGACTCCCGTGTGTACTAACGTGTGAAGATCCTTTTTCGCAGTGACACTACTGGACGCAGTGGATTTGTTCAGGTCAACCGCGAGCACGCACGTCTTGTTCGTAACATCCCACAATCTCGCGTCGGGGCCGCTCCGCGAGACCAAGAACTTTTCGTCCTCGGTGAAACACAAGGCAGCAAGATTGACTGGTGGTTCTTCGGCCGGATCATCTTCCTCATTCGCGAGATTGATGCAATATTGTAATTTGGGATCAGGGAGTAGACTCTGTAGAACCTCCCAAAGTTCGAACTCGCGCATCGCGTCACGAGTGTGTCCCAGATCACCCAGACATCTGCCTGTAAGGGTATCCCAGACGTATAGCTGTAAATCAACGGACAAGACTGCTAGCAAGCGCCCATGCGGCGAGAAGCGAACGTCACGAAGATTTCTCGTTCGAATGACGGTAGGGGGATCCATAACCTCGCCCGCCTTGAGATCCCAGAGTCTGACCGATACGCGGGCACAAGTAGCTAGCATACTTCCATCTGGAGAGAGGGCCACCCCAGCACATTCTGCCACGCCCATGTTTGTAGTCTGGCAGCAGCGACCAGTCTCGATGTCCCAGAGTTGGATCTGGCCATACGACACCGATGTGAGGAATCTCCCATCCTTCGATATGTCGAGTGCTTGACCGTCTGATGACAAGCCATATTTCGGCGCACTTTGGACTTTCAGAATCCGGAGAAGGTCACCTGTTGTCGGCTGCCAGAGTTGGAGTATGCCATCATCTGAGATTACTGCCAAGATATTGCCATCGCTGGAGAGAGCAGGTTTGAACAACGCTGACTGGTGCCGACTTTGTATTACCTGTAAACACTGGGCCTTGTAGGTGTCCCACACATAGATAGCTCCAACAACGGTTGTTGAGGCCAGGACTGAACCGTCTTTCGATGCCACGGCATGTATGATCTCACTTGCGTGGCCAGTAAGCCGTCGGATGCAGCAGCCGGAAAGCACGTCCCAAACTTGTATCGTACGTGAGTCAACCATCAGTGCCAGCAACTCTCCAACTTCCGACAGAGCAACTGCCCCAAACATACCGTTTTCAGCGGGGATGCTCGATTCCTGCAAGCATTCCCCAGTCCAAGGATCTCGTTGTTGGATGTGATGGTCACGATTTGTTCCGCCACCTGACACTACCACTAATCTCTCTTCCTCTCCCAAGAACCCAACAAACACCGCTAGGTCTGGCAAGTCAAAGGCCTGCAGAAGCTCCCCCGTCACGGGGTCCCATACTTCCACTATCTTGCTCGCTCCTCTAATTACGGCCGATGCTAAGACCTTTCCGCAAGGGGGAAAAGCCAAAGCGCGACTTGACCATACACGACCGCTCAGGCTCTGCAGTAAAGGGCTCCAGTTGGAAGAAATCGATGGCATTCGATGCGTCCAGTGCAATGCTTCCTTCTCGAAGAGAAGTCGAACTGTGCTCTGTGCTGGCGCAAATACAAGCCCACTCAAGTATATTTGTAAGGGATATGGTTCGATTGTAGATCGGCTAGATAACGTAAATCGCTTCGCGTCACGGATATATGCATCGACACTGGGGTTCTTGGTATCACTTAGCTCCGCTTGTCAGAATGTGAGGCAGCAACACTTACAACCGTCATGGATTCCAGGGAGGCGATGGCACGAACTCCATCGGAAAGTCTCCTCATCCAAATAAGAGCCTCTAGCTAATGTAAAAGATGTTTTCGGAGGAAGAGATCAATGGAGTCGTTCTTATGTATTTTGGCACCGCTCTGCTGTAGGTGGTGGACCCAGTAAAGGCATGCATAGCGCACGCCAGCTGGTAACCACTGCTCCAGTTGGCCCCGGCTAACATCGGTCACAGCAACAGCAGGGTTATCCAAGGCGAAGATCCCCTGTCCAGGTGGGGAACACGTCCATGATTGAGACATGATGTTCACCCAGCACCCAGCCAAGGTGAGATGCGTCTGCCTCTTGTCCACATGAAATGCTTGCTCGGTACATCTCACTTCATCCAATATAAATTCACGCAACGTAGGATGGTGAAGTCGAGGGGGCAGATGATCGTCTTCAGGAAGATCCACAATCGCGCTCAAGTGCCTGAGGTTAAGATGAATATCAAGGTTACTGATAGTTTTGTACTCTGGGCGTCTGACACCAGATGACCGGGGTTCGGATTGGTACAAGGCGCCTAGTCCAACTACCGGAAGTGGAGAAACGAGCACAGCCATTGTTCCCAAGATAAGTCGAACGATGCTGTAGATGAACACTTTTTCTTCAGTCGTGTGTCGCTCTGAGACAGTACTCCGAAGGACGGTGAGATAAATCTTGTCTAGCTCCGACTTTGGGTCGTCAATGGAAATGCTATCGTTGAGGAGGTGACTCAGTCGCTGGCGGGAGAAACGGCTGTCTGAACCGACAAATTTGCATGCAGTGGCGGCCCATATGAAGAGACCACCGGATTTCTGAGTCAGGAGCTCAACTGTGTCTGATCCAGGCCAGTCTTTACCTTGGTGATGTTTTTTCGCAATGATTTTGAACCTGTGGGCAAGGAAAACGCTTATGTCATGGCTCACGATCTCCGCGTCTATACTGTGGAGCTTGAAGCACCGTCGCTTTTCTTGCGGTATGTCGTCAAACCTGGTCTCAATCCTCGTTTCAGGCCGGCTGGTTAGGAATATACGCAATTTCCCAGACTCTAGCATTCGTGTTTGAGCCAGAAGACGGAGGATCGTGGCGATTCCACCCGAAGTTTCGCATTCGTCCAAGGCATCAATAACCAAGACATAGGGTAGTCGACCTGGTTCTAGTTTGATCTTAGAGAATGGTTCGAGAACCAGACGACGCCATTGATCCTCAAGAGAATAGTTGGAAATGTCTTTTCTTTGGCGAACAGAGTTTTTGATTTCATCACGCAGAGAAGGATCAGCGTCCGCCAACTGCCGCGCAATTGTAGTCACAAAGCTCGTCGTGCGCTTGATGTCACTATGGAGGACGGAGAAAAAGAAGCTGGCCCCAAGTCGATTCTGGCCATCATACTTACGAGCTACCGTGCGGGCTATCGTCGACTTTCCTGTGCCAGCCAAGCCACTCATCCAAAAGATGCAGGGAGCTTCGCGATCATTGGCCCAATGGTCAATGCCCTCAAGGATCTGCACGCGTGTGTTTTCGAGGCAGTAGGGGGACTCTTCACTATCAGCAATTGAGCTGAAGCGCGCGTCCTTCACGCAGGGCAAGTGTGAATCATCAAGCAACTGGGTTGCATCCCCTGTGATTAATTTAGCCGGGGTAGTGATGGTATTGGTCGGGCAACTTGCCATAGAAGTTGACATTTTCGGCCGTGCCGACGAATTGTCGGGAATCATTGGCAGCATATGCTGAGATGGAGCATCTTGAAGAATCTTGGTCTCCTTGGCTCGAAAGACTCGACAGTTTCCTAGTCCTTCGATCGGGGGTCATGGTGGTGTGGATTTGGTGGATGCTGAAATGCTGGCTGAAATGCTGGAGACAGAACGAGTCGACACCATCAGCAGCTTTCGTGAAAGCAAACGATGGGGATTATCTGTCTGATGGGAGCGCTAGTCTGGGCGAATCCGGTTCGCTGAAAGGCTGAATCTTAGCTAGTGTAGCGGTAGACTTGGTAGTAGGTAGTACGCACCGAGCGACGATTGGTTGTGTTTGAGGCTTAGCTGTGTGAGGTCAAGATAGTTCGAATAAGCAAAGCAGCTAGCTGCTTATTATGCCCCCAAGCCCCTCCCTATTTTTTGACCGATCAACCCCGGCGCTAGACAACACCCGTTAACACCAGCAACACCCATCACCCCAACATGGCTGATCCCATTGGCCTCACCGCCAGCATCATAGCGATCGCGGGTCTGGCGTACTCAAGTTGCAGGACTCTGAGCAGCACGATCAGGAATATACGCGATGCGCCAGATATCCTCAGCGACCTCCACGGGGATCTCGACACGGTCCAAAATCTGCTTCGGTCGTTACAGAGCGCTTTCGAGGGCCTGAATGAGAACGACCTGTCTGCCGGACAAAGGAGATGTTTTGAAGATCTCGAACCTTACATGCGTCGATGCGAGGCGACCTATAATGCTTTCGCAAAGACGCTGTCCCGGCTGACATCTCACTCTGATGAAGACAGACTCAGCTGGCGGGACCGAGGTCGCTTGCATCTGGAGAGACGGGATATTGCAAGTCTGAAGAATGGACTGCAGAAGGACATAGAAACTCTTGATATTGCTATCAACATGGCAACACTGTGAGTTCAATCCACGCTGACCGATGCTTGGTGCTGATGAGGCGTCTCCAACCGCCAGTCGAAGTACCCGGCAAAATCAGGATGCGCTGCGGACTCTGGAAAGAAGAATTGTCACATCGATGAGCGAGTTCACCGGTGAGATACAAGGCCTGCAGATGGCAATACAATCCTTGCCGTCTTCCTCTGAGAGCTCCAGCATCACACGGGCGGATGTTGATCAGGTGGTAAGTCTGTTAGAACGGCAAATCGACCTGATACAACAGAGCTTGAGGGTATGCGACAGCGGGCTGAGGGAGACCTCGAGAAGTACTGGAACGACGGTGGCGAATGCCAGAGTGCTTGATAAAGCCCGTCAGCTCATTGGAAACATTGGGAGTGATGTTCGACTTGGGCCTCACACAGTACCGGTGAATGTCAGTCATGCGGAGGCTAGGGACAATGCATATCAAGGGGTGGGAAACATCTCTGATGCGGCGTTGGAGGCGTTCTTGAGATAGCGAAGCCTGAGCGAACTTCGTTGTGCTCAAAGGAGATAATGAGAAGTGAGTATCAAGCATATCGTGGATAAGCAAGAGTGGCACCAGCTGCGGCCTAAGGTTGTGCATCAGCGGTGCTGTAGTAGCGTTTGCTGTGGTGTTGTGGACAGAGTGTAAGCTGGACCGTGGTTGATTTGCAGTCGAAGAATAGCATATCATGGTTTGCTCAAGCGATCAACGATGTATTGAGAGATTGAGGACAATTAGGGAATGTTCGGAGGTGGAGGTTTCAAAGGAGAGAACATGTATACTCAGAACAGTTTGAAGTCACCTGATCCCCGGCTCTTTCCGTTTAAGGTTCCAACTCAACCAACTACTCAATTAAAGCCACGCATTGTTCATCAACACTCTTCAACGAAAACAGCCATTTGATTCGACTTTGGTTTTCATCAGTGTACCATGAAGTTGAAGAGACAGAAGAAACCCCAAGATCAACCGCAACATCAGGTATAAGATTGAAGCGAGTTTGTGCACTTACAATCGAGCAACACCTGTCAAATAAAGACGGAGACCGCTGCACTTCACGTCCACCTCCAGTTCAAACAAAGATTCACGCTTGACCTTGTCAAGCAATACATCATCAATCCGGATGTTTCCACCTCCGGAGTCACCGAGATCCGAGTCCGTGTATGCACGGCAGACTCGCATGGATACCCCGGATCGAGTCCAGGACCGTCGACGTAAGTCCACTGCCAGAACTGACTGTCGTACAGATTAGGCATACACGATCCATCCAATGCGACTGCAGAAAAGATCGAATTGTCGTCATCACCTCCAGTCCGGTTGGCAGACCCATGTCACAATCATCTGCAGATTAACTAACCCTGCCGACAGTGGTGTAACCTCTTCGAACCATGACACACTGCCTCCAATGGTGTTTCATCTCATAACAGCTATTCCTTTCCCTGGCACGGGTGCATATTCTTGCTGTCTCGTTTGCACTGTGGCCAGGGGCACTGCCATCAGAGGGCCCTACCCGGCGAATATACCGACATGACCAGTTGGCTGGACCAAGTCCCAATCGCGTGCATAAGAAGGGTTAGGCAACAGAAACATGGCACGCAGTGCGGTTGTATAAATACGTGCCCGTTCCCCAGGGCTGGCTGACTGACCGAGTCGCCCTCAAAACCCATTCTCTACTCAGCGACAGGATTACCTCTCGTCCCCCAAACGCTGACTGTCTATACTCACTCGACCGATCCGAAATCTCCGCAGCGATGAAGCCTCTTACCACCATCGCTCTCTTCTTTTCCTGCTTCGGCCTGTTGGCAGCTGCCCCAACAGATCTCGCCCATTTCATCGACGCAGCCACCCACTTCCCCTTCGTCGACATCCCAGACCACTTCCCCGCCATGTGCTCCGGCACTGGCTCTGGGTATTGCAACCTGGGAATTGCGAGCTACATCCCCTCGTCCGGGACCAAGATCCGCCAGGCGTTTGTTTACGATCGATACTGCCGCGGACTCGGGGCGCGGCCTTTCGACACCGACACGGGCAAATGGTCCGTCTACTCGCTGCTTCCCTACACAGTGGAGCTGTCGATCACCGGCGGGGGCAGGATCCCGGACGGATCATTCATGTATGCGGGGCGGAAGACGGATCTGGGCAAGAAGATGTACTGCCGAGCGTGTTCAGGGCTCGGGGATTGGGAGTGCTGTCAAGTTGCTTTCGACTGTCATTAGGGGAGATTTGGGGTGGGTCAAGCTTAAAAGAGAGTTAGGAGTGAGGAAGCTTGCCCTCAGCACGGAGTCGGTGCCTGAGCCGTGTCGATTGGCGAGAGTTGATGACTGGAGTTGTGTTGTTTGCTTCGCGTGTGTTTGATGATTTATATCCCCTGTCTGCTAGCAATAAGATTTGTTGTGATTGAAGGTGTTAGACATCAGCAGAAGTAGTCACAGTCAGCATTTCAGCACAAGAAGATGTAGAAGCATATGTGTACGTATATTGGTTGGTGGCTTCCTTAGGGAAGTAGTGAGATCCGAGGCCACGTAACCCCAGATCTGTCACAGAAGATATAGTGATTGTCGCGCTAAGGGGAACAACATACTGGACACCGAAACTCAAGGCCGATGTTTGCAGCGTTTACAACATTTATCTCCGGCCAGTAAGCTGCAGCCATGCAATCTACTTGAGTTACAGTGGGCCAATTACCATTGAGTCAAGACAAGGCTAATCGAAGGACGGTGGTTTGCATCCTTTGTCAGCCCCGGAATTAACCCCGACATCCGAATGTATACAAGATGCCGGATGTTTAGCCTGATCTCCAGGCCTGTAGAGCGATGTATAAAAGTAGCCTGTAGCCTCAACAACTCCAAAATAACAACCGCACCCATTTTTCAAGACACTTGAACCCCCCCCCCCAACATCTGAGAAACAACAACAACAACCATGTCCCAAGACCCCCGCCTCAAACCATTCCACCATCTCCAAACCCCCTACAAAACCTTCCACGATAACACCACCAACACCCCCCAAGAAATCCAAACAGACATCCTCATCCCAAAGACCATTCCCAACCCCAAGCCCCTCCCCATAATAGTCTACTTCCACGGGGGAGGCCTAGTATGCTCCCCAGCCCCCAGCCCCCTTCTCACTCAAGCAAACTAACCAAAGAAAAAAAAAAGATATGCGGCTCCTCCCTCCACCCCGACTGGTTCCCAACCTACCTCCTCGAGCTCGCCCAAACCACGCCAGCCATCCTCCTCGCCCCGAACTACCGTCTCCTCCCGGAGGCCACCATCCACGAGGTGTTCAGCGACGTCCTCGACTTTTGGGACTGGGTGCACGCCCCCGCGGCCAGCGTTGCCGCGCTGCTCGCCGCGGTCCCTGCCCCCCAGAATGCCTCGGACCGGCTCGCAGTTGACGTCGCCCGCGTCCTCGTGGCGGGCGGTTCCGCCGGCGGGTATCTGGGACTGTGTCTGGCGCTGCGGGTTCCCGAGCAGATCCGCGGGGTGGTCGTGGGGTATCCTGCTTTTTTGGGGGTAGCGTCTTCTGCGGTGGCGTCTGCTGCAGCAGCAGCAGCAGCAGCAGCAGCAGCAGCAGCGGAGGGAGCAGGGTCTTCCTCGGTGAGAGGTGACGATGAGGAGAGGAAGAGCGGACTGAGCAACGGGGATGGGCACGGGGATGGGCACGGGGACGGGGACGGGGTTAGCCCAACTCCCACCACAACCACAACCACAACCACAACCACAACCACACCCTCCCCCTCTTTAACCACCCAAGACCTAAACCAAATGCACCACCTCCTCAACACAGCCCTCGCCCTCGCCGCCCAGAACCGCCGCCCCGTCCGCACCTCCACGACGCCCCCGGACCGCCTCGACCTGATGAACGCGGCGATGCGCACGGGCCGGATGGCCGAGCTGTTCGCGCGCGGCGTCGACCCGGCGGCCCACGACCCGGACCGGACCCTGCGGTATCCGATGGAGAGGCTGGATGAGCCAGCCCCCAGAGTTCCGCGGGGTGGGATTGTGATCTTGCATGGGCGGGAGGATGAGGTCGTGTCTGTGGAGGATAGTGTGCGGTTCGTTGGCAAGGCGAGGAAGGTTTTGGGGGCGGGGAAGGTGGTGGTTGTGGTGCGGGAGGGGGGGCATGGGTTTGATACACCTGTAAAGCTTGGGGAGGGGTGGTTGGGGGAGAGTTTGAGGGGGGTTGTTGGGGGGTGGTTAGAAATTGGGAGATTGAGTATATAGCACTATAGAAATGCAGGTGTGTATACAGGGTCCTTTCCGGAAGCATGTTTACAAAATAAGACCTACTCCCATGCAACTTGCATTGAGTCCACTACAGAAAACACTAATATCGTCTCAAAACTCTCCCAATTCAATATGGTCCGACAGACACAGACCTATCTAACCAACAAAACAATCCAAACATGATATATCCAACAACACCCGCCCCAAAGCACCAAAAAGAGATCCCAGCCATAATTCATATCATATAATTCATCAATAACTTGTAACAAGTCAATAATAACAGTGCAGCAGTGAACGTGTCTCATATCCCGAAAACATTACCACCTCTAGGCCAAGCCACCCCCTAAAAAACACATTCACCACCCACTGGAAAACCCAGCCAAAAAAACTTAATAAGTATCCCCCGTCGACTCATCCAGATCCTGGATGCGGTTGACCCCGCCCATGGGGGTGCCCGCCGCCAACATCATCTCGCGCTCGCGCCCGGAGGTACTGAAGCGCTTCTCCTTGAGGACGGGCTCCTCGCCCAGGTTCTGGTGGCCGGTGCGGACGGTGGTGTTGCCCTCCGGGTCGGTGTGCGAGGCGAAGGCCGCGCGGTGGCCGGATTCGTGGGTTTGGGGGGGCTGTTGGTTCTGGTCGTTTGACGAGGAGGACGAGGAGGAGTACGAGGACGAGGATTCGAAGTAGGAGGTTTGGGAGGAGTTGTACGACATCTTGGTGGTTGGTGGGTTGCGTCGCTTGGCGATGATAGTCTAGGGGAATCGGCTGTGTTCGCGATGTGTGGTTTAGGTTTGCGAGGTTCTTGTGAGGTTCGCGAGGGTTTGCACGGAAAGGTAATTTGCAAATACAAGAATTCAAGGCTTGCTTGCTAGAATCGATTTAAAGTATGGTGATATAGTGATAGTAGATTGCCTGGGGTAAGGCTGCGTTTGTGGGGAGATTCTTATACTGCGGCTCCGTGTGGCAACGATGCAACGATGATGTCATGGCGAGATAATTCCAGGGCGGGCCTCCCCATCTTCCCCCAAGAAATATGAAGTCAGCCCCGACACTTACCAATCCTTTCCCAATTTTTGAGAGTCAAGGGGGAACCGGGAATAGCGTCATGCTTAGATGAGCCGGTTCATGTGTCAGGCCTGGCATCGCCCTTGATTGGTCGCCCATGACGATCCAGGGTAGCGGCCATTGCGAAGGCTGCATCATTCGTACTGAACTTACTGCAAGTATCGACCATTGTATCCACTTGCGATAGACTTAACGCGTAATTGGGTGGAAGATTCACCCATTGTGGCTGTATAGCACGCGTGGTATACATGGCAAGGGAGATTGTGACTGTCAGTTGCTGGACATCCGAGACTAATGCCGCCCATCAGATCGGCATGCAGCCACTCCATCGACCACTAGCTTGGACTTGGGCCCGCAAAATAGATTAATCCTCATGTACACTACCGGTGCTACCTACCCGAGTAGATTTGAACATAAGTGATGCCTCGAGGGCAAGTAGACTAAGTCGATCCACTAAGCGGACATTTTGTCCTATCCATCCTCAACCAATAAAGACAGATCCTAGTATGACTGTCGTCATCCGACTTATTTTCATCTTGTTAATCCTAATCCTCGAAACTAGCTCCTGTTCGTGTTCGAATCACCTGAACCACCAGTGACCGATTTACACAGAGTATCCCGAAGCACGAGACTTATAATCCCACATCATATCATCCAGATCTCGACCGGACGCAGAAACCATCGCCTTTCCCCTTTCGTCCACTGAAGCCGTATACAAGGCATACGCGGGATCATTGAGGGCGAGCTTCACGATCCGAGTGGCAGCCGGATGGTGCCTCCTCACTCGGGCAATAAACCTGCTCGTATTTCCCTCGTACAGCAGCTCCGCGGCCCCCAGCAGCCCGACGGGCTCCTCCCATAGCACCGACCGGTGACGCTGGTGATAATAATACAAAATGATGTTGCATACCACAATAAAGGACAATATCACAATGATGTAGTACGCCGTCTTGGGGACCACAAATAGCCGCGTGTCTGGGGTAGAGACGGTTCCCTGGATTGAGGGCGGCTCATCGCGGTCCACCACCGAGCGAGGGAACCCCAGCCCTTCATTCGCTACAGCGTATACGGCTTCGAAAACTCGTTCCATAGATAACAATATTTGGTCCCTGTTAGCGTACGGGTCCAAGGTGTTTGCTTCTAGGACGTGCCTATTGATGAGATAGGAGAACCCGTCCACGGATAAAGCACCAGTGGGATCTCTGAATGATATGCTAGTCAGGTTCTGTTCGAATCGTTCCCAAGTAGCCGGCCGAAACTCAACAGACTGGCTGGGATGGTCTTGGAAGTGAATTACCGAGCTGTTGTATTTGTCTGAAAATCGGGTGACAAGATCACCGTGTGTCTTCCGGTATATAGGGGTGCATGACACGGCACTATAGTCTGCGATTTTGAATGGGGAATTCAGGTTTCGGATCCCTGATATGATGGTAATGCGGCTATAGCCAGCATTCGCAGTGCACGCTCTCGCTGACAAGCTCCGGATGTAGTAATAGGTTGAGCTGTCCAATGTCATGGAGTATGTGACATTGCAGCCGGCATCATCAATTCCGACTGTCAGAGTTCCGCTTTCGTCGTTGTATGGGATATAGTCTAGGGTAGAGTTCTCTTCCGTGTAAATAGCGCAGTCAAGATGGCCGGACACAGCTAGGTTGTAGGTAGTGATATCACTCGGCACCTGAAAGCTGTCGAACCCATATGGCCGGAAGGCATAGTGCAGATCTGTCCATGCAGATGGTGGCGCCTTAAAAATAAGCATGGCAAATACCTCGTCGACAATCTCATTCCAATTCAACGAGTCATCAAGTTCCAAGTCGTCCCATAGTTGTGGAGTTTTGAGGGTGTTAGTGGAATTCTTGATGACTGGTGTTGCAGTGAGCAGATGCGCAGAAAGAGGGATCACGGTTATGTTCGAGACAAGGTAGAGAAGCATGATGACTCCCAGAATGTAGTGCTTGTTCCGGATGGCCAAGTACCACGACCAAAGGAAGGGTTTACTGCTGTAATCGAGCAGTAACGACTTCTTCAGTGTGTTGCCCTTGCGTAACTCGACATACGGCTGTTGCTTGGACGCTGCATCTACCACCGAGGCCCAGAGGTCTCGGGACAGCGTGAAAAAGCCATTGGGCAAGCTAGTCCACAGATATGCTGCACTCCAAAGGTTCTGCAGTATCCCGCCGGGCCCCTTGTCTCGGCCCAGTAGATGTTGAACGGATAGTAGGCCATTACGGCTTTCTGATATGGCGAGGAGGATCGATAACGTCAGAACGGTTGTGATTTCAAGAACAAGAAGAGATGATATGTAGGCCGATCTCAAAGGGTAAGGCTTCCAGTTCCGTTGCTTAGAGCCTGGGGGTGGGGGATAGTCGCAATCATGGTTGGTGGTTGTTGTAGCACTTGGGAGCATCCGACTGTACTCCTCAATGAGCTCTACGGGGCTCAAATCGGCAGGAAAACCCAGAGACATAATTCAACTATAGGACACATTGTGTCCTTGAGAAGATTGTAGAGTGCAAGTGAATAGACGTAGCCGAAAGGCATCTCCTTGACTTTCTGAGCGAATGCTGCGAGTTTATGTGAGATGGTGACGAACAATGAATCCTGGTTAGAACGGATACATCGTATTTCCCGGAGGTTTGTCTTTCGGATTTTGACCTGACCGAGTTTCCGTGTGGACACATAGTATGGAGCACAAAGGAAAAAAGACAAGCTTTACCAGTCTCCAAACCCAGTTTCGGTCCACATTGACCAGCTTTGTGGATGATAAGCTTTATTAGGGTGGTGGCCGCATGCTGCCTGGGTCTCACCACAATCACTCGGAAGCCGTACGAGATACAGGAGCAATTAAGGTTTGAATGAGATGAGATCTCTCAAAAGGAATAATGTTGGAGACCTCATGATGATTTGGTGTCCTTCATTGCTATTAGTGGGAGAGAGAAGGGAGCTTTGGATGGAAGCTTGAAAGAAAGCTTTGAAAGGTGGACTCCCCCGCATCACGTGGCTGAAATATTAAAGCATATAAAAGAAAGCATACAACAACATGGCCTCTGCCATTCCCAAGAGGGGAGTGAGTCCACACAGAAAAGGAAAGGCCAAGAGTGAATTGCAACAAGTCCCGGCCAATCTAGAGAAAACCCCCAACTTCTCTTAATTGCAGGGCTTCTGATGAAATAGTCGCGTCAAAGAATAAGCGGAGAAATGCGCCATGTAGATAAAGATGCTCTGTGGAAGAATGATCGACCAGTGGGTCAACTAGGTTCGATGATCAGAATAAATACTATCAACCTGACCGTGATACGGGAAAACAGCCCCTCTTCCGCCGTCAACTTGAGGGAACTCATCTCGTATCGTAAATCCACCGTACCCATTGTTCTGAGCTAACCATGCCTTTGCACGGTAGATACCGCAACCTCGATGTACAACCAGATGAGACAATGCCTTTCGAGGCATTTCATCTCGACTTGCTGGCCGTTGACATGCAGCGGTTGTTCCTGCAGTTGCTGCATGAGCGGGCGAAAAACCCGAAAGACCGAGTCTTCGAGTTGGAAGATCAGGATGTGCCCCAGTTTCTCCATTTCTGCTCGGAGGTCGTGGACGTCATCCACGACTTAGAAGAGGACTGGCTTATAGCTGAGATCCGGGAGATGCTCGAGCATGTCTGCCTCACGTGGGCCTATATGCGTGGTTCCCTCGACCGAGCGAGGAGAGCTGGGCTCCGGCGACTGAACGATTCGCGCCGGGGGCTCCACACCTACGACCGGGCCTGGGCCAGAGGCATTGTCAAAGAGCTGGCGCGGGTGACCAGCTGCAGCGCGCATGCCGCCATTGAAGCCTTGGTACGCGCCGCCCTGAAGCCCGAAGATGTCGCACGGCTGCACGTAGAAAAACGACCCATCCCCCGGCGGACCGAGGAGACCGAGTGCACGATCTGCGGCGGAAAGCTGGGGAAGAAGCCCGTCTGGTGTAAGGCGCAGTGTGGCCATAGTTTCTGTTTCCACTGCATTGATTCGTGGCATGAGGAACTCTACGAAAGAGACTCCATGGCCAACTGCCCTTACTGCAGACAACCGTGGCCGCATTCTCTATCCTCTTACCGCACGTAGCGGTTAGCTGTGTAGAGTGATATCGAGAAGCAGCCTGCTTACTCAAAGAGGCACATTGGTCAATCTAAATACACTTCTCCTCATCCCCTGTAGGCTGGCGCTTTCTTATATCTCTCCACCCCATTCCCCATGCCGCACAAAAACAGCCAACACCTATAGCAGCAGACAAATAGAAAACATGATCTATCCCCTGAGTATATGCCAGTAACACTCCTGCCAGTTTATCCTTCGAAATTGTGCCCCGGATCGCTCCAGCCCCAGCAGCAATCACTGCTCCGGGATCCACGGACGAAGCGTATACCGCCAAGCCGGACTTCAAGCTGTTGATGAAGATGACTTGGCCTAGGGTGAGGAAGATTGCCTGGCCCAGAGTTTGGCTAAAAAGGAGCAGAGAAAGGGCGATGGAGGTTTCGGCTTTGGGAAGGATGTTTTGGACCGCAAGGAGGGGCTACACTCTCATGTTAGTAAAAATATAAGTATGCATGAATATGTTGAAAAATGGTGAACTGACCGCCTGAGTACCTAGACCCCGTCCAGCTCCGATCAGGATCTGGTATCCAATCCATGTTCTTGTTGGTGTCGATAATGAGAGAAGAGATAGCAGCCCGTTTCCAAGTGATAATAGCCCCCCACTACCGATACTAAACGGAAGATAGTATCCCACCTTTCTCACTGTACGGCTTTTAGAATCAATGCTCTTTGCGAAGGCGAGAGAAATTTCTTACCTAAAAACCCCGAGGAAATGACAAGAATCAACTGACTGATGATGCTTGGGAGTGTAGAAACACCACTCATCATCGCGGACACTCCTTTCACCACTTGAAAGTAAAGAGGAAGATAATATGTTGCGCAGGCATTCATCCCGCCGAGGAAGAACATAAAGAGACAGGAGCAAGTAACTATTCGCTGAGAGACCATGTAGAGAGGGAACATGGCCTCTCTACCGGTGCGGTACTCCCAACCCAGAAACAGAATGAACATGGCGCCTGAGCCGCAAAACAGACCAATGACGGTCGCGCTATTCCAAGGATATCGGTTTCCGCCATAATCGAGTGCCAGGAGGAGCTGAATGATGGCCGGTGCGAAAATGGAGAATCCGATCAGATCTAACTTCTCTCGGATGATGTGAAGGGTTGGCAGAAGGTCTTTCGTAGCTTTCGGTTCTGGGATAGTGACGAAAAGCAAGACAAGAATAATGACGCCGCCGATTGGAAGGTTGATGTAGAAGCCTACAACATGGGTAATCGGTAAGAGATACCAGGCAAAGAGACACGCGCAGAGAGAGTACTTACACCATCGCCATGATACATACTCCGTTAGCGCCCCTCCAATCAATGGTCCGAGGACAAGACCGAGCTGAGCAACTAGAAAATCACGGGTCAGAGGAAATACCCCCAGCTGTATCAAATTGGCCTACTTACTTGCCAGCAAGATGGCCGTCATGGCTATCAAAAAGCAGGATTAGTGATATCACAAAAATAAGTCAAGATGGTATGATGCATACGTGCTTGTTTCTCCGGGGAAAAAGATCTCGTAATAATTGTCAAGGCACCGTTTTGGATACCTGAAGCTCCGATGCCTGCCAATGCCCGTGCAACAATGAGCATTTTCGAGCTAATTGCCAAAGCACAAACCAAAGAGCTGACCATGAAAATGCCCAGCAGCGCAATGAAGGTTTTCTGGGGGCTGTTAGCTATCTTCGCCAGCAAGAGCATGAGATGGGTGCGAGCGTGCCTTGGTGCTGAAGTATGTGTATAGTTTCCCTGTGAGTGGCTGAAAAGATGCACTGGATGGAACATTAGTGAGTCTTCTTCTTTTTCTCTTTTCTTGGAGACTTGAATTTTGGATTTCTTTAATCCATTCTTATATCTTCTGCTTAACGTCTGAAAGAGATGGCAAAAGCTAACATACCTAGTGAGCTGATATGCACTACCATACCATCCCACATCAGAAAGAGAATGGAATTGGCTTGTGACTCGGGGAATTGCCTACTATGACATGCCATCAGTCAAGGGGAACGTATACCTAACTAGCAGCAGTCCCTCGTATCTCAAAGCTCAATCTTACCGGGGCAACGATAGAAGTATCAACAAGCACAAGAAGGGCGGCAGACGTCAGAGCCGACAGCAGCAACACAAGCCTGAAGCCAGTGATATAATCTTGTCGCTCTGTTGCTGGCTCTTGCTCTTTAGCCTTCTCCATTCCTCCATCTTCTTCCCTTGATGCTACACGCATCGTCTCTTTTCCGCTGCAAGTCGAGAACTAGGAAGTATCGTCATATGCCTGTTTTTCCATTTCCTTTGGTGGGCGTGGCGATATAGTTGAAAATATGTCAAGATATTTGATGGGAAACAAGGGGGGCAGTCTGCCTTCGTACACGTGACCCCCATTTATTCATTGTACAGATGGCAGTCTGCACACATACACGTGACCCCCCTATTGATTCATTCTTGTAATTCGCGGCTAGATGATAGGGGTAAGGAGAGGAAAACAAAGAACAAAAAAAGAAAGCGTAGAGATTTGCATGGTTCCATTTAGGTATACAAACTGATGCACGACTGTAGCTCCAAGGGAATAATCGCCAATTCGCGTGGACCACTACCGGTACACCATCAGCATTCCAGCAATAAGCCATCCTACTTGTTAAGTTCGAAGGGTTTATAGAATAGTTCGTTGCATCTAATTTACCTGTCTTGGATCTATAAGATTATTGGATTGATTGGTGGAGGGGGAGAACTCAAGAGCATATACCAGACCCACTGATAATCTTTTGTGACGGTACCATTGTGACTAGTGCGATCTGAGCTGTGAAACTAGCCTTACAAATGGAGATAGATGTGTCTCCACTGAAATGACAGGAAGGTTTAATAGTCTGGATAGTTTTTCCGACGTGTCTATCTCAGCCGCTTCCGTTACACCACATCGGAGATCGGTATTCCGAACAGAGATGAAAGGAAGGGAGAAAAGATCATCTGTACGGAGACACGCGATGCTAAGAGAGTAGTTCCTTGATTGAGGTTTCGCATGAGGGCTGGAAGTCAGCAGAGTGTAGAAAACTAGACCTAGAAAGGCAACCTCAGTTGCATGCCGCCCGCCCGCAGTGCAGTTGGCGGCTCAGTACAACTTAAAGAAGCTTTGAATCTCATTTCCTCTCAACACCAATAAGCCCGAATCCCATGAGAGAAAGGCATCTAACTCCAACTTGCTTTGAATATTATACTGTGAGGGAAAGCTCATCTTCAGCAACTACGATCAAGTTGAACACCCCGCCAGGCACCACATTTACTTCAAAGTCCAAATAGTTTGGTTACAGCCGTGCCAAATTGCCCTCGCCGTCCCATGGAATATTCTTCACCAATATAGTTGTCAGACCCTCCACCTTGTCGGGACTGACCGATATCTTCCACCTCCACAGTCGAGGTATGTCCCCCCTCCTGATGGTATGCGAGACTTCCAGTCCAGTTTTTCGGTAGTAGTTCAAGACGGTGGGATTCGTGGTAGCACTCAAGCCCAACATGCGCGTCCGGAAATGATATGGTCGATGCCCCGACGAGGGGCGCCGAAGCTGCTGCGCTTGGTGTCGCTTTTGGAACGTCTGTCTGTCCTCGCTGACAGCCGCTCGCTCCGCCGTGGCAAAGGCCTCGAGGATCATGCCCCGCTGCCGGTGGTGAGGAGAAACAAACGAGGTTCCTAGGAACCAAGACGACTCATTACAGTCATCTTCATTGTCGTGGTAGGGCTCGTGGTGGCAGCGCGGGCCGTAGAGACTGGAAATCAACGCCCACTCATTCTCCCATATCGGAGTCTGGAGGGCACCATCGTCGGCTCGGGGAACAGCGATGATGACTCGAAACGCAGGCTCGCAGAGCGTTGACTTCCATTCGGCGTCGGACATGCTTGCTTCTTTTTCGTAGGATGACCCGAAGCTGTCAGGGGCTGTTTTCAGGGCGTTCAAGCGGAATTCGATGTATTTGGGACCCCATTGTTGGACACTCGCCTCGTCGTGGGGCAGGATTTCAAAGTGGTATTGCGATAGAGGGGGCATGATGCGGCGCGAAGGATTAGAATTGTTGTTGTGCCTGGATCAATGATGAATCTTCCGGACAGAGCACGAGATTTTATTTTCGTCTAGCAAGTATCTATGTCCTGCATGTTGCTGATCGAGCCAAGATGCTTCAGTTGAACCTCGTATTCGGTACTAGTACTATGTAGATCAATCTGTCAAAGTGAGCTGAATTGTATGCTGGTGACAATCCCGATGTTCGAGGTGTTACCCGCAGTTTACATACAAAAACACACAGTGAATCTGGGATTGAGGTAGACTAATCCCATGTCACGGTACAAAATCTCTCCTTGTTACGCCACTGTACGGAGCACGGAATATCGTATCTGGCTGATCTTCGCGAAGATCTGCATGGATCTACAATATCAGGACTTGCCTAGGTGATCTATACTTCGCCGGGGTCGCCCACAAGACCCACATCGGTCGATTGGTGATAGATAGGAAGGCAAAGAATACTTACTATTCGTGAGTACAGGTGGCTGAAGGCACGACACATCAAGAGAGCCTACGCAGGAGAACAAGACAGCGATTGAAGCCGCAAGGGTCAGTGAGGAGGCACAAATACTCCGTACAGCAAGGGATATTCTCCCTAGTGGATTTTCGAGTTTCATCTGGACAGGTGGGAAATGATCTGTCAACATACCTCGAACTGACTGTTCGTGTCAAATTATAGCTCCCATTTTTGTTACATTTCCATTGCAATTTGTTTACGGCATCTCACCGCTGATTTCTATGGTCGTTTCCATGCAGCCAATATGCTTTCTTTGCATTTGTTTAGCTTTGAATATAAGAGCTCCTCACCACATGTTCGCCTCGATTCAATTCTAAGCGAGCTTGGCTCCAGAATGATCAATCAATCTTTGTCTAGACTCAAGACTGCATGAATTGTGTGATTCTGAAATACTATACACAACCTACCCCTCCGCGACCCCTCCGTCCAGTAACTATTGAACTTTTAATCACCGACAATGCTGGTCATTGGCACGTGAGCCCTTAAGTCGAGTCAGTGAGTGGGCAGATCAGATAGAAGCCCATATATAAGCGATTGTTCGCACCGTCTGTTGATTCTCCTAATCGTCCATCTTGCATGCCCATCAAGAATGGCTAACCACCCCCCTTCGTTGGCCGAAGCCTGCCATGAAAACCAGAAGGCACCAACCGCCCATTTGATTACACTTCTCGACCAAGTCGCCGACCGATTCCCCGATCATGATGCCATCATTTCCCTCCATCAGAGCCGCCATCGCTGGACCTTTGCTCAGCTGCAGGAGAAGAGCATCCAACTCGCCGCCCGGTTCTCGTCCCGAGGTGTCGGTCGTGGAAGTCGGATCGTGACCCTGATGTACAACCAAGCCCAGTGGGCACTGCTTTTCTGGGCATCGGCCCGCCTGGGCTGTCAATTTGTGCCACTGGATCCTCGGGTGCTCGATCGCGACGCACGGGATGTCTTGTTTCTCCTCGATCAGCTGCAACCCGGAGCAATATTTGTATCAAACGAGGCCATGGCGGATCGGATCAACCATATCACAGTCGATCATGACCATCGCCCGCTTGTTCAGTGCGTGGTCGCCGACATTGAAGAGACTGCTGTACCGGCCGGGTGGACGACGGTGTCCAACATCATGTCGGAGCCCTTACACGACGAGCCTTCGTTGCATCGGCCCGGAAATCCCGATGATACCATACTCATCCTGTTCACGAGTGGCACCACTGCTCTTCCCAAAGGCTGTCCGCACACGACCATCTCCATCAGCGCTCAGGGGCTGGGGTTTATGTACGGGTTGGAACTAGGACCTGGGGCGAATCTTTGCCAGCATTTGCCCAATTTCCATATCTTCAATATCGCGTTCACTCTCGCGTTCTGGCTGGCCGGCGCGACTGTCGTCTTCCCAAGCCTTTCTTTTGACCCACAGAGCACCTTGCAGCTGCTCGGATCCTATCCACGGGTCACCGTTCCCTGTGTCCCGGCCATGATACATGCTTTACTGAGCTGTGCGCCCCCTCAACAGAGCTCCCGCCCTTCGTTCGAAGTTCTGCTGGGTGGCGCTCCGGTGACAATGGACGTAGTGAAGCGCTGTAGAGACTTGGGGGCGACAAGGGTGATGACAGGATATGGCATGACGGAGGGTATACCTTTTGTCAACACCTCTCTCGAGGAGCCGTCCGTGGACCTGACGACAAGGGATGTGTCTGTTGGGAAGGTATTCTACGGCGGGCGAGCCCGGATCTGTGCCGAGGGAAGCCGCATCCCCATTCACAAGGAGGAGATCGGTGAGGTGCACCTCGGCGGTCTTCCAGTGTTCGGAGGCTATCTTGGGGGCACCAATGACTCATGCTACTGTGAGAATGGGGTGAACTGGATAGCCACGGGAGATCAGGGGTACATGGACCGTGAGGGTTATGTCTATATTCTCGGCAGGTATAAAGATCTGATTATCTGCGGTGGCGAGAACATATCCCCTTTGAAAATAGAACAGTGTTTGAGCGAGGTAGATGGGATACGGGTGAGTCAGCCAGAGGTGGTATGTTATTATCGAACGAGGTACTGACTGTCTGGTGCCTAGGATGTGTATGTTGTCGGAACGCCAGATGCTGTGGCTGGTGAAGTGCCCGTTGCTGTGATGCGCAAAGATCCGTCGGGTCAAATCCCAATGAAAACAGCCCTTCAAACAATGGTCTCGAATAAACTTGGTCAATCCTTTGCGCCAGCACGCATTCTTGATCTCCAGGATGACCTCGGAAAGGACCACTATCCAACGACAACATCCGGCAAAATCCAGAAAACAGTGCTTCGAGAATGGGTGACGGAGCATCTCAAGCAGATCACCGTTGACAATCCAGTCTCTTTCGGCGACGACCTGACAACCGAATTAACGGCATTATGGTCTGGATTAACCGGTCTAACACCTGGAGATATCGATCTAGACGTTTCTATACGGAGCTTCGCCGACAGCATGATGCAAATCCAGTTTTGCCACCTGATAAGCCAAAAGCTGCAAATAGTGATCACGCAGATGGATTTAATCAAGTTCGACACAATTCGAAAGCTGGCGAAGCTACTCCACCAAAGAAAGCATGTCAGGGACTCTCGTTTTCATGATACACACCATGCTCCTCCAGCGCAGCTCGACATGGAGCGGGCGAAACAAGTGGCCTTGTCCAAGTTGAGCGGCCTCGGATTTAGATGGGATGACGTGGAAGAGGTCGTCCCGATTGCAGACTGTGTGAAACGGACACACTACGGACACAGGCCGAACTCGTGGAACACCCGGATGTCGTGGATCGCGAGCCCATCGATCAGCGTCACAGATGTCACGGCGGCCTTGCACACCTGGCTTCAACGTCATCCACTGCTGCGGTCCACGCCGCTTACATACGATGAGAAACTAGATCTATATTTGGTCATGCGTCCCAGTGAGGATTGGATGAAACTCCAAGTTATAGACGGCGGAATGGTTGGAGACATCAACAGCGTCGAAACATATAAGCTGAATGATGCCGACTATGACCACATCGATGGGAAGGGGCCATTGTTCAGGGCTACCATTTTAAGCGTGGAGAAGCCATCAGTTGTCGGGTTGGTCATGCACCTGCACCATCTTGTGTTCGATGCCCACATCCTGTTCCGATGGTTTGAAGACCTCAAGGATCTCCTGAATCGCAAGGACCAGCTTCTCAATTTCCATCCATACCGTGACTACATCGCAGATTACCAAGGGAACCGAACCGGGCCAGCAGCCCGGAGAGCGATCGACTTTCATGTGAACAGAATCCGAGGAGTATCGTCTGCTACCGATGCGTTCTGGCCACGGCAGATTGCACCATGCTGGCTCAAAGGTGACAACCAGGGCTGGGTCCACAGTGACCACACCCCCGGCCACCCCAGCGAGCGACCCCTTCTGGATGGCGACAAAAGCATCGGAACCAAAGGTATCACTCGCGCCGTGCATGTGCCCAAGATCTCGGAATTCCAACGCAAGTTCGCGATAACACCCCCGATCATCGCGAGATGCGCCTGCGCGTTGGTCAACGTGCGCATGACCGGAGCCAAAGAGGCCATCTTCGGCCTCGTGGAATCGGGCAGAACCTGGCCCTCTGCGGATGACAGTCACCCCGCGAATCGAGGCATCGATATTCTGGAAGTCGACGGGCCGACAATCGTCCAATGTCTCAGCCGCACAACGATCACCCCAGACGAAAGGGCAATCCAGCTTCTGACCAGGATGAGCAAGGACCAAGACGATATCGTCTCGAATACATATGCTCCCATGGACGAGATATGCCGGAAGCTGGATGAAACAGACGCGAAATCCTTCCTCGACATCCTCTTCCGCCAAGGCCTCAACTGGAGGATGGGGGGGTATCAAGAACACGCGGCCGATCCCATCAAGTTGATCGAAAACATTTCTCGTTCCGACTTTGGCCTCTTCTGGCTCCCGGGTATGATGGAGGGTGATCGGCTGCGGCTGACGGTGAAGTACGACGATGCGCAGCTCAGGGCAACAGATGTGTACAATCTTATGACGGAGTTCCTGTGCGCTGTGGCCTGGCTGGGCGATCCGGGTAATATGGATAAGCCTGTGTCGCAGTGCGAGTTCCAAGGTCGTGAGATTGTCGACCTGGATCACGAAGGTCCGGCTCGCTATCGGAGGTGATCATATCTGATTTGCCATAGTCAACTGGAAATGTGAGACAATCACTTTAATAGAACTTACCCTCGTATACGGTATGCGGACTTGATATCATACACATCTTATCGTTCTCGTATTCGTAGAATTCCAGGAATTGGCCAGAACAATCGCCTGGCCTATAAATCCTCGACGCAAAAGAGATTTATGGGTTCAAGTTGTGCTCAAGCCACCACCCCCCCCCCCCCTTGCAAGCCCGTATCGAAGCAGGTAGGACTTCCGCTTCACACTGAACCATCAACGTGGTTCAATTCCCAAGTGGCTCCGCACGTAAAGTACACGGTTATCACACTTGCCCGGTCACAGGTTTATCCTGCCTCAGCCTTCAGGGCATGACATCCTGAATTATGCTTGTCCTATTGACCCTCGAGGAAGCCCAGACCGGGGGTACAAGTGGTTGGGAAACGCTACTGACACTGGCATTGATTCCAGTACCGCCGGTGCTCAACCTATATAGACAAAGTAGTAGGTATAGATCCATGCCTAATACTAATACTGATATCGATCATCTTTCCTGCCCCTTTCTACATTCCTGACGCCGGTGGCAACAGCAATTCTCGTTGTTGTTGCCGGCCTCAACAGTGCAGGTCATTGTGAGGACCACGATGAATGACTACATGTCGCTTGAGAGACTTGAGAGGAGCAAGAGGTCTACCCTAGCAGGGTTGCTATCAGATGACAAGCAGGGTAAACTGGACACCCTTGCATGGTGCAAATTATAGGAAATAGTTTTAGAATGAATTTTTAACTTTTATATGCCTCATGAATACCCAGATCAACTGTTCGTTAGATAAGCAAAAGTCATGCAAGACCCCCGATCTATAGCTCCAAACCCCGGACGGCCATGGCCAAAGCACCCTCCTTGGTCTTGTGGCCACCGATGAAACCACTGGCGTGGACGAAGACCGCGCCCTCGGGGATGCGCGGCTGGCCAGACTTATCCGCCTCGGCGGCCATGACGGCATCGAGGTCGGAGTCGCGGACCCCGCGCCACGACTCGGGCAAGGGCTTGCGTGAGACGAAGCTGCCTTCGCTCTCGGAGACGCACTGCACACGCCACTTGGAGCCCTCGGTGGCGCCCTCCGGATACAGGACGTAGTAGGTCTGCTCGCTGCCGGAGGCGCCCTCCTGCTGCTCGAAGGTGTACAGGTGCTCCTTCCAGGGCACGCCGCCCTGGGGCAAGACGATGATGCGGCCGGAGGGATGGACATCGCGGCGGGAGCGGTACGCGGCGCCGACGGTGGTGCGGGCCGGCAGCCAGGAGGCGGCGGCGTGGTGCAGCTTGCGGGTGAAGACGTTGCCGATGAAGGTGCTGGCGCGGCCGAACAGGCTGTCTTCGTCCTGGGGCTCGCCCGGCGGGCTCGTGGGGTCCGGGTGGTTCATGTCGCCGACGACCGAGGCCAGCGTCACGCCGCCGTCCCGGAAGCGCTTCTGCAGGCCCGCGGCCGAGATGCCCGCCGGGTCGTAGACCGAGATCCCGTTGTCGTTCGCGTCGATCGCCTCGATGAAGTCGTTGTACAGCTTCTCGTACAGCAGAGTCACGTCCTCGTGGTCCTCCGGGAGGGAGGTGTGTTGCGCGATGATGGCCCGGCCGAAGTGCATGTAGACCAGACCGGCGGACGAGAGCTTGGTCTCGTGCGCCGGAAAGGTGGTCGCGAAGGTGCGCTGGTGATGATCATAGCGGTTGTTGGAGGGGTCGTACTCGCCGCCCACATCGACGACGGTGTGGCATGTGGCCAGTTGGGCGGGATCGCGAGTTCGTACGAGAGGGGAGGCGCTGTAGGTAGGAAGGAGACGGAGAAGGTAGACAGCAAGAGCTTCGTCGGCGTGGAAGTGGCCGCTGGAGAGGAGCAGGAATTAACGATTGCAGAGGGTGGGATGTGAGAAGGCGAGAACTTACTTGTGGGTTCCGATCAAGGGAGAAGAGGTCTTGATCTTCTTCGTGATGGTTTCTTCGGCCATTTTGAATAAGGAACGGAATCGAAGCATACACCAGAAGGAAGAAATAGCGTGGTAAGAATGAAGAAGTTCCTGTCTATGATTGTCGATAGAGCCTGAGCTTCTGGAAGCCTGGAGCCTGCCTGAGGTCTCCGTATCGAGCTAGTTAGTATCAGCGAATTCCTATTGGCCGGAAGGAGCAGGGCGCTGATTTCTCTAAAGGGGAAAGCGTCGAAGTGGCAGCTCCATCACGCTAACCAGATTGGACAGATACTTAGGGCTAAGCACCTAAGAGCCTAGCATGTGATTGCAGCCTGAGGCTTGCACCTCCTGTAATATGGTTTGTCGATGGTGTCTTTATCTGACAGGCATAATTACGTCGATTCCACATCCTTCCCCCCTCTCCAGGCTCCATTGGAACCTTAATGTCGGGACTGTTGACGTCCAGTTGCATTTTGGCGCAATCACAGGATCCCCTAGCGAACGCTCGATCACCTTCTACATGGGTACTGGGGTGATAATCTTCTGGAGATGAGATCATATACAGCCGATCTTTCCACCAACTGACCGCTACTTGCATCCGCCTGGACGCCACCGCCTGCCAGTTGAAGCCGGGTCGGATACGCTAAACCGCCAAATTGCGAGCAATTCTTACGTTTGCTCGTTGCGGTTGCTGTTGCTGGGCTGCCTGTCACTCCCCCCCTTTTTTTCCCTTTTCCTCATCCTGTATCCTTCTCCTCGTCTTTATCTCATCCTGCCCGATTCATTGCATTGCAGCCGTTAAGCTTTGGTGCTTCAGTACGTAAGTGGATTGTTTGACCAGGAGTTTCATTCGTCCATCAGCACGTGCCACGTGAATTCGATCCATCCATCATTCCGTCCCGCTTGGGAGATAAGATCGTTTTTCAAAAGACTACTGCACTGAAAACGAAACGAGGAAAAAAAAAAATTGAAAATTCAATCCAAAAGACAGTGACGAGATTCATCCCACTCGCTCCCCCAGCAAGATTCAAGAAAAGTCGGACGGACAGACCAGCAAGACAAAGGACGGCACGCAATCAACCAGCCTTCATGTATTCTTACTAAAGACTCCCCTCCCTCCTCCCCCGTCCGTGTTGTCTACCAAATCTCCTACCTTGAGACCATCTGTCGAAAAGAGCGCGTCTACACCCCTCTCTCCCCTTTTATTTACCCTCTTTCTGCCTTTTCTTCTTCTCGTTTCCCCTTCTTGTCGTCTTGTCCGATGTGGCTCTTCCGCGCCATCTCGTCGGGACTCTTCCTGACCGTCACGGTCGCATCCATCCCTCTCGCGTTCGATGTGGGTGGAAAGACATGCGGTCTGGCCTATTCGCTTTCCCTCGCGACCTTTTACTTTCTGTTCTCACTCCTGCGACTTTCCACCCCCGATCGGTCCTGGATCCGCTCCTCCCTGGTCGTCATCATCAGCTCTACGCAGTGGCTTATAATCCCGATCCTGCTTATCTGGTCGCTCAACCGCTTCTCTATCGATAATGACAACGCGGCTTCATGGGTGGAACGGACCTTCACCGGCAAGAGGGCCCACGACTCCTCCATTCAGGAGTGGGTGTTTGGTCCGGATGGTTTGGTGGAATCGGTGACGATTGGCAACTGGGATAAACTCTTGAGATGGTCGACACCGGTATTCCAGCTGGTGGAGGGTTTCTGCAGTTTACTCGTCATACAAGCTGCAGGGCAAATCACTCGATGGCTCGTGAACCGCGGCGGGCGCAGTGATAGTTGGATGGTACGTACACGTCACTCTGAAGTGCTTGATGCATGCAACGATAAAATGCTAATCGTAATCCGCCAGATTGGTCTCCTGGTTTTATCCGCCTCAATCATATCCAGCTCCGTATATTTCCTATGGCGTGTTATGCAGTTTCCGGAAATTTCCAATGTGGATGCGGCTCTAATTGGTGTCTCCATAACATGCGCGGTGATCTTGTGCGCCTGGGGTATCGGTAGCGGCCGGGGAAATCCAGTGGAGAGCTCCTTGCTATTTGCCTACATTGTGCTCTGCCTCTACCAGATCTTCACAGACTACAAACCCTCTCACCCTCTGGAACAAGCGCCCTCTCCTGCTCAAGCCGGGGATTTCCCGCCGCTACCACCGATCATCATGGAGTCGTACACCACTCTGATGCATGCATTGTCCACCCTGCCTTCAATCATCCACGCCCTGTTCAATGTTATCACCGCAGTCTTTGGCGCCGTGACTCCCTCCGTGTTAGTCTCGCTTACCTACCGGATTCTGGTGCTGTACGCGTCCACTCGAATCATTCCCGCAGTTCGCGAGTCTGGCGCTCGCGCCTTGTCGCAAGAAGCCTCGTTGGACGACTCCGATGCCGCCGGCCAATTCCTCGGTTTCCTCAGCTACTTCTCCCCCTCGATTCTCATCGCCGTGTACACCAGCCTTCTGATGCAGCACTTCGCTCTGACATCTCAAGCAATGGGTGGCAGTGGTGAATGGTGGAGCAGCCAAGGCGGTGGCGGCGGCAACCTCTGGCGCTGGATCAACCTTGCCTGCACGATGGGCTTGTACGCTGTTGAGCTTTACCTCGGCGAGAACGATGATCTAGATACCGGCTTGGCTGGTCACTGGAAGACCGACTGAACGGTACACGGCGAATCGCAAATTCATGTCAAATTTATCAACCATGCAGAGACTTGGGGTAGACACTCGCAGCGTCCTTGATCCGTCCCTCAGCTAGGCTGCCACCGATGTTCATTTACGCATATCCTCCAGCTAGGGTTTCTTCAGCATGCTGGCTGCCCTAGGCCAGCAACGCCATCGAACGCTCCTCGCTTGTTAGCCGCTTGTTAGCCGCTTGTTAGCCGGATTGGAGGAATACCAAGGATCATCTCGCAGAAGCAGCGTGCCCGCGACTTCACATGCCTATCAGTCGTCCTTGCACCTTGCGTTTCCTCTCACCCTGCAAGGCATTACATTATTCCTTGGCCACCCCACGAATGGTGCTCGTCATGGAGGGACGGACACTGTCCCCGTGGACTTCGTAATCAACAACACAGTTCCAGCATGATTTAGGATCCATCACTAGGTCTCCATACCAGGGGCCGGTCCAGTTCAAGTACACCGCGCGGTTCGGACGATGCCAACCACCCCACTCAACAGATTCCCTGGGCCGTACCCGCTCCGGACCGCCTCCTTTGTTTCTTCCGCACTCTGCCCCCTCCGATACGCCTCACTCTATCCTTATCTTTGGCCTATCCACATCTCTTATGATCCCATCTCCGATTATTGCTATTATACCCATTCTTCCCAGTCTAGCGCCTTTCTGCTACACTACTTCCTGTGATTTTTTTCTCATTTTTTTTTGTGTTTGCCCATCAATGCTCTCCGACTTACCCTTCCTTGTCATTCTTAGCTTTTGATTCTTGAAAACTGTTTGCACTAGATGGAGAATCTTATACCCCCCACTTGCTGTTCACGGTGACAGGTTTTTTTTTTCTTTTCTTTTTCTTCTTCTTTGACCCTTTTTTTCTCTTCGCCTCTGTAGCGACATCTTCTTCATTCCCATATCTTGTTCCTTTCCTGCTCCTGCTGAGCTCGAGTACCATATTTAGCGGTTTTTCAAGCTCCGTTGCAAATCAGACTTGAAATCTATGAGAAAGGTGACTCTTTTTTCTCTTTCCGTTCTGCAGTACAAGTAGCATACACGAAGTACCTCCCCAACTCGCACTTCCGGGATTTGGGAGTGGCTAGTGAAGAGTACGGGAAGTACACAGCCAACGAGTACAATTTAGGATGGCGAGACGCCAGAAACTGGAAAGCGGCTAGAACGACAAACAGAACCGAAGGTGAGTAAAGAAGTAGGTAGTCAATGGCCTAAACTCGTAATGTCCACAAAGGCAAGTTTTTGTCGTTACCACGCCGGATCTAAACACACCTTCAGGGGGGAGAGTAGAGGCATTAAAGCACGGCAAACATACACGCATCAGATACGACGTGTTCCTGGTTCTTGAGCGCAAGCTAAAGGCATAGAACATTTCGTGCTTATGAGGTAGAACGGAGACACGAGGCAGACTCTTCGTACCCGGGATGATCTTCCAATATGGACAACGGACTGCACGAGAGAACAGGAAGACTGATTGCGTCATTTCGTGATGATTGAGACACTCCACTTAGCGCGAGCATGCTGGGTACTCATACTGTGGACGCACAGAGCTGCTGAAGCAGGCTATGATCGACAGACGGAGAGGATCCCACCCAAAACTGGTCAGCTCGTCTTTGCCACAGATTGGTGGGCGAGTGCTATAGCATGCGGTCACTTCAGCCTGGTGGCTCAACCTTCCACTTTCTCTTCACTTTGTGTCAGGCAAAATCCATCCGAAAGGCAAAAGATAAGAGAAAGGGAAAAAAATAAATGATCAATGATAAGGTCGTAAATACATCGGAATGTCAAGAAACAACGTGACGTGGGAATCCATGGCGCCAGAACACTCTTTTAAATACCACCGACCACCGGGACGGAATTAACAAAAGATATACGAAGGAAGAGATGTAACCAAATAAAGGATGACATGAAAGTAATGAGATCATGATAAGGGACGGGGGGGAATCATTTATTGACGGATGGGAACACCCCCTCGAGCCGGAGGTGGGCTCACGCTGCCGGCATCGGTGGGATCCTGGGATGCGACTGCATTGAGGTTGTTTCCATCGGCCTCATCGACGCTGGTTCCTCGTTGCAGGAAGCTGGCCTCCTTGACGGGGCTGCGGCTCTGGAATCCGATGGAGCCAGGATGGCCGCTGATGCTACCGGGGACCTGCTGGCCGCCCTGGGCACTGATGCTGCCGCCATTGCCGGCAGCGGCGGGGTTGTTGGCGCCGGGGGAGGTGGCAGTCAGGTGAGGGATATTCTCGGGAACGGGGTGTTGGGAGCCGATGTTGGTGACGCCGACGTCTGAAGCCTTGCCAGCTTTGCTGAGGGCGTAATCGCCTGAGTCGAAGTATTTCCGCTCCTGTAGGGCGTAAGACATGAGAGTTGGCCATGATGAGTGGTTGAGTCGGGTGTGTTGGGACGAGCATACCTTCAGCTTGTTCTGCAGGAGATCCTTCTTGTTGGGCATCTTGCCGTAGAGACGGAGCAGGCGTTGCTCATCGGGGCTCAGCGACTTGAGAAGAGATGATTGTTAGTTGCAGCCTGACGGGGAATGAATTGCGATAACCCAAGATAGATCTGGGCGGAGAGCGTACGCTGGTATCGATCTTATTCTGCTGATGGGGATTCATTATTGAATGATTGTGGTTTTGATTTGGTTGGTTGTAGAACGGATGAAACGGGAAATGGAGGAAGAAAAGTAGGTTGAGAGAAAGGAGAAGAAGCAAAGGAAGAAGGTGCAGACGAAGGAGGGGGGGGAGTTAATATGGATTGAGTTGAGGTAAGTTGAGGTGAGTTGAGGTGAGTTGAGGTGGACAACTGAGATGGAGGGAGTGAGTGATTGAGTGGTGCGGGTATTTAGTATTGGGGGTGTCGTCAGGAAACCCCACCACCTCCAGCGGGGAGCAAACTGTAAGTAGTATGTAGGTAGGCAGGCAGGTAAAGGTATAGATCACAGCTTCCTCTGCACAGGCTGCAGGGGATGAGATGTAAGAAAGTTAGACCGGAAAAGGAAACAGATGAAGAGAATCTTGATACAAAAGGAATGAGAATAAATAGGAACAGGAGAGTGTTTGAGGGATAAGCGTTTGAAGGTGAGGGGAAGGAGAAGAAGGAAATGTAGAGGGAGAGAGAGAGAGAGAGAGAAAGTATCCATGATGGACTATGGAATAAGTCTAGTATTGGTATCAGTCGGTATGGACGGGTAATGGTATGGTCATCGGCTGGCGGAGAGCGTACGACATCGGGCGGTGACCGCCCTGTAATCAGCCCCCGTGTTCCACCACTTCCTACCCACTAAACCTCTCAGAGACGAGGATCCAACAATCTGAGCAGGAAGGAGTCTGCATTCAGCCTAGCGGCATGGAGCTGCAGACTGTCTCCACCTCGAATGGTGACCGAACAATACAGTATTTGTTTCACTCGATCTGACCAACGCCTCATTATCGGGGAAGATCAGGCACTCGTCGTTCGATAATTTGCTGTATGCTGAGGACCAGGGGGTGAAATAGGTATGGGATGCTTAAATTAAGATACAATGTGTCTCAAATTCTAAGCAAGTGATGAGCGTGCCCTTAATGACTTGACACTAAGGATATGCTAGCCCAGACGGTGCTTTCAAATGCAGGGACAGTATACTCGACTCAACTTGCTGCCCCGTTAGGCACAAAGGGCGCAAAAAGAGAATAGTAAATTTGAACCTAACGAACTAGTCGAGTGAATAGTCCTCCAATGTTCATTTGATGAAATGTTCATTGCAAGGTCACCGGGTTGCTCAACTTCGACCGACGGTTGAATTGAAGAGGAAACCTCAGTGTATGCAATCGGCCGTATCGACCTGTATCCAACTCTATGATGAATTCTGCTTTTTTTCCTTCTGCCCCTCCACAATCTGATATTGCTCACCATCCAGCCTTTTCGCACCGCTTACCACCCTTAAATCAATTGGTAATAGCTGCAAGCTTTCCATCTCTCGGTTCTAGGCTAATTTTGGGTCTTAAGAACCGGTGAATCCGAGCCTGCACGGTGTCACAAGAGGTTCCTGAAACCCCACACTTACTATAACCGACATCACGCTCATTGTCCGCGGGCCAGACCGACTTGGACGCTTCCATTTGGACCAACATGAGTGATCAAACCTCCTCCTCGGGTCCTGTGACCATCGTGGTCGAGCATCTGGACCCCGAATTGGGCGCTTGGTCCGCTCTGGAGTATGGCTGCATTGCCCGTGAAGCGCATGCCTCGGGGAGTAGATTTCTGCTCAGCTCCGTGCCCACCTCCCTGCAGATGCCGGAGGATCTGGCGGCCACCCCAGGCCTCAACGTCGAGCACCGCAGTGTGGAGGAGATTTTTGCGGACCGCAAGTCTCGGGTCTGCCTGTTGGACCCTTCCGCCAAGGTTGAGTTGAGCCCCGCTGATGCAGAGACGTTCGATGTCTTCCTCTTCGGCGGTATCCTGGGTGAGGCGCCTTTTTTGCAGTCTTTCCGGTCTTTCTCCGGAGATTGACTCAATCCATTGTTCTGCTGGCTGACTCGAAGGACTCCCTTGTTCGGTCACTAGGCGATGACCCACCTCGCGGTATGTTTCTTGGATGTAGAGCAGATCCATCATGATACTGACCCGAAGCAGATCGCACCTCGGAGTTGAGAAAGAAGGGCTATGCTGGCCGTAGACTAGGGCCTGTGCAAATGACCACGGATACAGCTGTGCGCGTCACTCGCCTAGTTGTGCACGATAAGAGTCAGTCCTCGACTGCGAGTTTGCATGGTTAAAATGAAGACTGACATCTACGCAGTTCCATTGGAGGAGATCAAATACGTTGACCACCCCGAGATCCTTATCAACGAGCACGAACGGACCGAGATGCCCTTCCGCTATGTTGTGGACAAGGATGGACAGCCCATCATGCCTCCGGTGAGCTTGCTTCTTTCTCATCATGCCTTGACTGCGCCGCAACTAACATTCTCAGGGCATGGTGGACTTGATCAAGAAAGACGCCGACCAGGGTATTGATGACCTCATCTGAGTCGAGTACACGATCGGCCGAAGATTGTAGCTCTCAATGAAGGCGCAGGGAGAAACAAATCCATCCAGCTTGGAATGAAAACGCTCGAGCGATGCTGGAATAGATCTGCATTAATCCTGGAGGATGAATCGGGCGAATGTAACTCAGATTGTCAACGGTAGTCAACATCTACGATGGACAATACAATACTCTTTATTGAGGGCTCGAATGATAACAACTAACCTGAAATCTCTCACACAAGATCATGCTATGTGGAAGAGTGTAAGGCAGCAGCTGGTCTATAGAGACCCCAAAGTGGTAAGAGTAAGTCCCGTAAGTAACGATACGGACGATACCCGCCCGTTCGGGCCACGCCATCCATTCGTCTCCGTCTCCGTCTCAGCCGCCTTGGACTTCCTCCATCTAACCTCCATCTTCCTCCTCGTCTCGTCTACTACCTTCCACCTCTTCCCTTGGTGTTATCCGGCTCTCCTGCCTTTTTCCAAATCGCTGTGGGAAGGGTGCTTGACAGCTTCCAGTCCATTCGTCTACCCCCTTTCTCTGTGTGATCACCTTCGTCACCATCGCCCGTTACCACCACCTCCCTTTATCTCCGGAGCTCCGCCTCGACCGGGGAGAGATTCGGCCTCAGTCAGCACGCACCGGAACTGGACACTTTGATCAATGAGTCCTTGAGCGCTGACACGAGTCCACTCGGGACCTATCCAATCCATCCTTGCGACGACCCGTCAATACTTTCTTTGTTGGAACACCCCCTTCCACCCTGCACCTTATCACAGTCCCCGAAATGTTCCCCTTATCGTCCCGCGGGGGCATCTCCCTCACCAAGATGTCGACATGGGCACTGTCGACGCTCCTTCTACTGAGTCCCGCCATTGTCTCGGCCAAGTCGGCGGCTGACTACTATATCCATTCTCTTCCGGGTGCACCGGACGGCCCGCTGCTGAAAATGCACGCTGGGTGAGCTACTCCGCTCCAACATTTGTCGCATTCCATCAACCAAAACTAACCCCTATCTCTCCGGCTTAGGCACGTTGAGGTTGACGCCCAGAGTAATGGACATCTCTTCTTCTGGCACTATCAGAATCGGCACATCGCCAATCGCCAACGCACCGTGGTGTGGCTGAATGGCGGGCCTGGGTGTTCCTCGATGGACGGAGCGCTGATGGAGATTGGCCCGTATCGACTGAAGGACAACCACACCCTCGAATACAATGAGGGCTCCTGGGACGAGTTCGCCAATCTGCTTTTTGTCGATAACCCGGTTGGAACGGGCTTCAGCTACGTCAACACTGACAGCTATATTCATGAGCTCGACACGATGGCGGCGCAGTTTGTGGTGTTCTTGGAGGAGTGGTTCAAGCTCTTTCCGGAGTACGAGAGCGATGATGTATGTTCCCCGGTCTCAACTTATTGAGGTGTTGCGTTTCTTACAGTCGATAGATCTACCTTGCGGGCGAGTCCTACGCCGGACAACATATCCCCTATATCGCGAAGGCCATGCAAGAACGGAACAAGAACGTCTCCAACTCCAACACCGCGCAGTGGCAGCTAAAGGGTCTTCTTATCGGCAACGGGTGGATCGCCCCCGAGGAACAGTATATGTCCTACTTGCCGTTCGCCTACGAAGAGGGGCTTATCGAGGAAGGCAGCTCGGCGGCCAAGGAACTCGAAGTGCTGCAGTCCGTCTGCCAGTCACGATTGGAAGCGGGCAAGAACAGAATCCACGTCAACGACTGCGAGAAGATTCTGAATGGCATTTTGGATAAGACGATTGTTAACAACCAGTGCTACAACATGTATGACATCCGTTTGCGCGACAGCTTGGACGCCTGCGGAATGAATTGGCCGACGGACTTGGTGGATGTGAAGCCCTATCTACAGCGGGAGGACGTGGTGGCAGCTCTGCACATCGACCCGGCGAAGAAGTCAGGCTGGACCGAGTGTTCCGGCGCGGTCAGCAGCAACTTCAACCCTCAGAGATCCGTGCCATCTGTCCGACTCCTGCCCGAGCTCCTGGAATCCGGCGTGGAGATTCTCCTGTTTAGCGGCGAGAAGGACTTAATCTGCAACCACGTCGGCACCGAGCAATTGATCAACAACCTGAAATGGGGCGGCGGTACGGGGTTCGAAACCTCGCCGGGTGTGTGGGCGCCCCGACATGACTGGACCTTCGAGGGCGAGCCGACGGGCATCTATCAATATGCGCGCAACCTGACCTACGTGCTGATCTACAACTCCAGCCACATGGTGCCGTACGACCTGCCCCGGCAGACGCGGGACATGCTGGACCGGTTCATGAACGTGGACATCGCCAGCATCGGCGGCAACCCGACGGATTCGCGCATCGACGGCGAGAAGCTGCCGCAGACCTCGGTGGGCGGCCACCCCAACAGCACCGCGGCCGAGGAGCAGGAGAAGCAGCGCCTCAAGGAGACGGAGTGGAAGGCGTACGCCAAATCCGGCGAGGCCGTCCTCGTGGTGGTGATCATCGGGGTGATCGTGTGGGGGTTCTTCATCTGGCGCAGCCGCCAGCGACATCACGGCTACCGGGGCGTGATGCAGAAGAACATGAGCAGCAGCAGCTCGGTGCTGGAGCGGTTCCAGAACAAGCGCACGGGCGGCGATGTCGAGGCGGGCGACTTTGACGAGTCGGAGTTAGATGACCTGCACTCGCCAGGTCTGGACCGGGAGCATTATTCGGTGGGCGAGGACAGTGACGAGGAGGAGCGGGGCGAACATGGCCAGCAATCGGCGGCGCGGGGAGGTGATCATTTATGATTCCTTGTTACTTGATTGAACCTTTTTAGTGTTTGTTTCAAAACTGATCATGGGTTCTTTGTGGACACACTGGAGTTTATGTATTGGAGCTTAGAATTGTTCTTTCGTGCTTTTGCGGTGGGCTGTATAGCTGGGAGGATGAATGCTCTCAGCAGAGACATTTCTCTATATCGAAAGTCTATAACTAAAACCTATAACACATGCACCCATCACTGCTGCACCGTCCACACCTTGACACTGCCATCATCGGCCGTCGTGATGAGCACCTCCTCCTCCTTAGAGGGATCGCGACCCCGATCCGCCCGCTTCGCCCACGCCACATGATTGATCTCGTAGATGCCATGCGCGCCATTGAGGACTGCAACGACCACCCACTCCGTTGGGGGGAGCAGCGACAGCGAGACCTCGGGATCCTCCTTAACCTGTGCATCATCAACCCGCCTCTCCTCATAAACCACGACCCTCCCATCCGCGCCAACCGAAGCAACCAACCCAGTCCTCCGACTCCACGCCACCGAATACACGGCCAAATCATGCACCAGGGGCAACACCGCCTCCTCCTCCCAGAGCTCATCCAACCCCGTCGGCCGAATAATACTGGGCATATTGCCGGCCCCCAACTCCGTCGTCATCCCCAACTTGGGCTGCCTCCTCCACACCCTAACCGAGCGATCATCCGAGCACGAGATAATCCTCGGCCCGGACAACGCCCTCACCTCCTCTCCACCCTCCCCGGAAGGAGAGGACACCCCGACGGCAAGACCCTCAAACTCGACCCCCCAGACCGTGCCCGCATGGCCCCGCAAACAAGCGACCTGGCCCCAATCATCCAGATCCTCGCGCCACACGCGGATGGTATCATCGTAGCTGCCACTGACCAGACACTCCTCGGCGGGGTGCCACGCCACGCACTTGACGTCGCCCTCGTGCTCCTGCATCACCGCCACGGTCTCGAAGTTGTTGTCCCCGTCGTCCAGGTCCTCCCAGATCCAGATGGACTTGTCGCGCGAGCAGGTCGCCAGCAGCAGCCCGGAGGCCGACCACGCCACCGATTTGACTTCGCTGTCGTGGCCGTCGAGTAGCACGGCGAAGCGCCATTCTTCGTCGTCCTCGTCGTCGTTGGCCGCGGGGATATCTTCCGATGGATCAGGGTTGGAGGTCGATGTGCCCCACGCGGCGTCCCCATCCTCATTCCCCGGTGATTGCGATGGAATGTGGGAGGAGGTGTAGTTGTCCCACCGCCGCCAGATCCCCGCCGTCGCATCGAACGAGCCGCTGGCTAGCACGCTCTCCCCCGTCACGTGCGGCTTCCACGCCGCGGTGCGCACGCTGCGCTTGTGCCCGCCCGTGATGGTCGACAGCAACCGGAAGTTGGTGAGCGAGTAGATCCGGATGGTCTTGTCGGCGCAGCAGGTCGCGACGATGGGGAGGCGCGGGTGCGGGGCCGTTTGCCAGGTGCGCTCTTGCGAGGGGGGGTCCAGCGTCGCGAGCGGGGTGAGCGTGTACGGGGGCGGGGTTGGTGGGTTGGGCATTTTGGTGTTGCTTTTTCGTCAGCCCAAGCCTTGCACTGGGGTATAGAGTTAGGTTTGTTCGGATTTGGGGGTTGTCGTGGCGGAGGGGTTGTCTTAAAACTGCAATGAGGTTCGTTCAAAAGAAGTGAGCTAAGCTGGAAATCTGCCGATTGCTACGGCGGCGGCGGCGGCGGCGGGGGAGGCAGGCGGAGCGCGGCGGGCGGAGGCGGTACGTAAGTACGTATGCACCTCTCTTACCGCCTGCTTTATTCGACCAACTGCATCTACTTATGCTGACGGAATTGTGGAAAAGCAACTAACTACACAACGTCTTTAAGAACTGAGACTTCAGGTAGGTCGGATGGCTATTCAGGGTGCTCATGGTGTCAGTTATCTGTGCAGTCTTCAGTCTTCAACCAGACAACGAAGTCAATGATTGCTATCTGTGCCAAGCGCCAAAGGAAGCCAAGATGAGAACCTAGGCCACAAGAGTGCCCAACTCGAGACTACGCAACCAAATCAGATGAAATTACATCAAGGGGCACTGCTCGAGAGGCATGTCTCTATCCAAGTCAACCCAAAACAAAGATCCAAGACCAAGTACTAGGCTATCTAGCGGAACAAATCTGCTTTCTCGACCAGCACAAAAGCAACGACTTCACTCAGATCCGAGGCGTCCAGGACCTGGACGTTGCGGCAGTCCTCGGAGAAGACCACATGATACAGGTGGCCGCGGTATCCTAGCGGAGCTATGTCAGACTCAAAACTATTCTCTGCCTTCAAGCATGACGGAAAAGGTCAGGTATTACCTGGGTACTTCCTGCGTGGTCGGGTCTGGGTGAAATTCAAAACAATGTAATCCTCCATCAGCTCGTCCCGGATCATCGCAAAGTACGGGCCGTCTTTCTCGAAGCGTCGCATGTACTGTGTGATCCGGTCGCCGTCGCACATCAGCTCCAATCCCCACTTCTTCTGCTCGACCAGGAAGTCGATCCTGCCGCTCCGGAGACCCGCCGTTTTCTTGATGAGATACTCCGGCAACATCGCGATCTGGTACTCGAGGAGGAGCGGGAAGAGACAGCGGTAGAACTCCTTCTGGTATTGATCTTCCAGCGTGCGCGCGGTCTTCGACAGCTGGTGCGGGTCGAATTGGCGAATGGCTTCGGTAGCCATCTCCAGTGGGGATCGATAGGCCATTTCTTTGGCCGGTGCGTCGTCGCGGAAGAAAAGGCACTGACAATACCTGGAGCCAATACTCTTAGCCAACCTAGGGCGAAGTAATCATAGACAAGGAGACTCGAACCATCGATGAATCTGGGTAGGAAACACATAGCGTGTCTCTCCCAGCACGATCTCCGCATGAAGCCACCCTTCCTTCCAGATCGCCTGCAGAGCCCGCTGTTGATCCGGGCTGCCGGCATAGCTCGACTCCAGAGTCCCATCGTACATGACGGCGTTCTTGAAGAAACTTGAGTAAGCGGATTGCTGCACCACTCGTTGTTTGGGCAACCCCCGAGCAAATGGGAGGTGCTGAATGATGCCGAACAATCGTCGGCAGTCTCCAAAGAGTCCCTGGCTTACTGTCGTCCAGTCGAGTGGCTGGCGTTTCCGGATCAGAGCATAGATCTCCTGTCACACATAGATCAATAAGGTTACCCCCCAAGAATTTCATGTCCCGCAAGGCCAGACTTACCGGTATCAATTCCAGGGCGTCGGCGAGGGACACCAGCAAGCCCGCGTGCCCCCCACTAACCAGGAACAAGCCATGCTTCAACTCCTTGGTCAAGATGTCCGCCCCGTTGGATATGACAATTGGCACATATCGATCCAGGATCTCGTGGGCCTCGGTCTCATCGAGCAGCAAGCCCACCGGCTTCCAGCGCGGGGCTGTCTCCTCGGATTCCTCCGGCCGGAGCGAGATCTGCTGATGCGGTTTAAAGACCATTGGCGTCTTCCCGGGGAGCTCTCGCATCGTCGTCGTCGCCCACCCGGGCTCGGAGCCGGCCGAGCCATAGCACGTGAACAGCACGACCTTGACGGCACTGCTGCCGGTAATGGACTTGAAGAGGTCCGTCCAGAGCTGCGTGTCCCAGTAGGTCTGCTGCGCCTCATCCAACAGCAAGAAGCCGGGATGCGTGATGAGCCGATGGCCATGCGTCCCCAGCTGTTGCTGCAGATAGAGCGCCCAGCCGCCCGCGAACCGCACGTCGTCCCACTCCCAGCCGCACAGCAGATACACGGGGGTCTGCGGGTAGCGGGCGAGCAGCTCGTTGGCCAGCACCCGCGTCATCGAGGTCTTGCCCGACGCCGGCGTCCCGTTGACGCGGATCAGATGGTAGCGGTCCAACCGGGCGATCAGCTCGTCGATGAACTGGGGTCGCATGATAATATGGGACTCGATGCCTGTGCAAAGGCCCGGGGTCATCCATGTTCCCGTGACCTCGCCTTCGACCTCGACCTCAACATCCAGAGAGTAACCAAAACTCACCAAGCGGCTCAGTCACGAGTGCAGGTCGTCTGCTCGCAGGGCCTGAAGAACCGGGCGGATCTAGAGTGTGCGCACGTGTTCTTCGCGTCAGTATACACCCAGCAAGGCTCGCCCATAGAGAACACCAAGAGCTAACAGTAACTATCATGATCGCTCAAGGGATGAGAACATCTGTCACACGCCACGGCACTAGACAACCCATCCAGCTTGGAGGTGCTCGAGCCCGAGGCACAGTGGCAATCTCGTACACCGCATGGCCCCATGGTGAGAAGTAGGGTTTTCATGGCGACAGCAGTCACTAGACCAGAACAAGACGGGATCATCGATGATTGCCGTGGTGTCTTCGCCATTTTTAAGGGGTGTATGGCATCGAAATCGCCGGCGTCTCGTCTAGTTCCGTTCGTTTGTTCGTATGCAAACAGCGAGCTGTACTGTCCCAGAGCATGTGCGAGTAGCGAATAGCGAGTAGCGAGTAGCAAGTAGCGAGTCACCGCAAAGCCTCTCTCTCGCACGCATTGTCGGCAATTTACAGCGGCGCGCGCGAGAGAGAGAGAGAGAACGCACCTTTGATGAAAGTAACAAAGAAAAGCGGCGGTGGGTCTGCTGTGTACATACAGTACCTACACCACTAATATTCCAGATTCTTCGTTCTTTGTTTGTCGTCCGCGGGAAGATAGGTACAGTTCAGCTACCCCATGTAGTAGTAGTGGCACGCCTCCACAATCTTTGGTTTGCAAGATGCACAGCACAGCAGAAGTTCTATGCCTGCATCGGTCCAACCTCTCTCGAGCCAACAATATGCAGTGGTTAGGATCTTCCGTTTGTCTCATGGGGAAACCCCGGGTTATCGATCCTTGCAAACGCCGGCAACCCGCTTCTTTGGTTGTGGTTGACCAGTAGTCTCGGGTAACTTATACTAAATTCGTGTATAAATGTTGAGTATTCTTACTTTATTGAACATTGTAAAAGAGGATTCGATGACGATCTTTCTTCCTTCTTCTATAAACAATATTCGTTACCTTAGAGATGGTACAATCGACTAGCACTCCGTACGCATGATATCGAAATATAAAATGAATCAAGTTCACATGGATCATGACTATGAAGCAATCTGCACAGAAGGAATTAAGTAATCTCAGTCTGTTCCAAAGTCCTGTACCTAGACAAGTAGAAGTAGTATCCCTAATAGACGAGAGCCAAGCCAAGCCTACCAACCTGGACCCTGACAATGACAATCTTATACTATTCAAGCGTTGCCGTCGCCCAGAATGCGCTCGTACACCATCCCATGACACAGCCAATCCACCTCGCGCATCTTCTCCATCTCGTCCGTCAGCTGCCCCACCTCCGTGACGAACTCGGGCATGCCCGCTCCGGCCAGGCTCTGGCTGGCCGTCGTCGTCGCACGCACGCGCTCGCTGGCGCTGGACGCGCTCAGTCGCGACAGGATATGGGCGCGCAGGCGCGAGAGGATCAGTCGGGCCACCGGGTCGGCAAAGCCCGAGGTCCCGTTGCCGCTGCCGCTTGTCGCCGTCGCAGAGCTAGCGGCATCCGACGTGTACGACGCCGCGGACGAGGTCGACTCGACCTGGATCTCCACGGATGGCTGAGTACCTTCCCCCTCCGTGTGGGCGGCGGCGCAGGCAGTAGCAACGGGCACCAGAACGCGGCGGATAGTTGCGGCCAGCTGCGCACTGGCGTTGGGTGGCATCGGGTGAGTGGATTCCAGGATGGATTGAACCCGGTCAGGCTGGATCTCATTGAAGTCCAGGGACAGGATCCGGTCCGCTTCCGCTTTCCATTGAGATCGCACGTCGCGCTTCAGCAGGTTCTTGGCTGTCAGGAGAATCGAAGCGGTGGCAACGATCCGGAACGCTCGGGCATGCAATCGCGCAAGTCGCTGCCGATCCAGCTCCAAAGTCTCCGGGATAAGCTCTTCGGAGACAGGCGCATTGCTCATCACCAGATCCACAATCCCCTGCGCATAGACCTTGGCACTTGGCGGTCGTGGTTCCCCGTGCACGTTCTCCGGGTCCCGCTTGCGCATCTCATCAGCAATGATCTTGCGGTGCGTGCGCCAAAAGCGCCGCGTCTTTCCCAAGCTCTGAGTGCCCTCTTGAAGACCCTTCTCGAATGTCCGCTGCTCATACCCGGGAGCCTCCTGGATCAGTTGTGGAGCTGCAACCTGAATCATGAAGTTGGTGTGGTCAAGGGAGAGGAGGTCGATGATGCCCATTAGTCGGGCAAGTCGGTCAATGGCGTCGCCCGATGTGTCCTCGGCAAATGCCTTGACGACCGGATCACGATACGGAGCGCAAAGCTTGGGTAGAATAGTATTCATGAAATTGAAGAAGCTGTCGTAGGAGAAGGCGCCGGCCCTGCACTGGTTTTCCACCAACTTGGGGTCAAGCACCTCGCTGATCAGCACATGCAGCGAATTCCCTGGCCGCAGTGAGCGAAGCAAACGGTCTTGGATCACCGCAGCCATGGCCACTGTCCAATTTGTCTCCAGGCCAGCTTCAACGTCCTTACGCATCATGTCACACATGTGTTTCATGATACGCTTGCGTGGCTCGGTGTACTGTTTCTCGTCAATCCGGAACTCCTTGTTGATCAAGAGCTCGTGCACCAGAGCCCTATTTTCCGGCAGTGCCGTCAGCATCCGAGTAAACCGCTCGTGGGGCGAAACACGCTGTCGGTCTAGCTCATGCAAGACCCCACTGTCCACGGTGTTGAATGTCTCACTGATAGGTGAAGCAACACTCTCTGTGAGAGCTTCCGTTGAAGCGGTTGCGACCTCCGCCGATCGCGGGATGGCCTGCTTGGACGCGGTCCGCTTCTTCTCCCGCTTTGCCTTCTTCAGGGCATTCCGCACCATCTCCATGGCCTTATCAGCGCCTGCCAATCGCTTCAGTCTAGCAAGGAGCAAGATCTGATTCTGCCGAATTCCTTGGCGATAATCCTCTGCGACGCCGCCGGCACGATCATTCTTGACTGTCTGCCAGATCAACTCCAGTTCGATAAACTGAGCCAACATGATCTCAATGAGGACGCTGGAATCGTGGGATTTCCAGGCGTGAAATGCGGAGAAGAAGACATTATAGGCCTCGCATAGAGCCTGCAGCTCGGTGGAGATGGCCGCGGGAGAACAGCACCCTGAGGAGAGCAAGGGGGTCACCAACTCGAACGCGGCGAGGAGCTCCCGCGCTTTAGCAATCAGGTCTTGCTCCTGCTCTCCATTGCTGCTCAGAACCTCAGTAGGGTGAGTCACAATCAAGTAACTGCTGAGAAACGTGCGCACCGCACCCCGTCCACCCATCGTGCCGCTTTCCATATCCTGCAGACCACACAGCCGAAGGACCCGGGCCGTTGTCTCCAACACCCGCTCGTTCGACAATTGGACACCGACCTCCTCGAAATCCTTCTCCCGAATACGATCGGTGGTCAGGTCGAGAGCCAGGAAACCACGCATGACCATCTTCGCATGGTAGGTCCTCCAGACCCGCTGGATGATCCGAGCGGCGGCATCCCGGGTGACTGCCTGAGCGGTGGCCGCCTTGGGCATCTTCTCGTCGCCAGCTGAGGGCAGACTGCTCGTACGGTGGCGCCGCTGGGTCTGCTGGTAGAGCGCCCGGCGCTTCTCCGCCTCTGCGAACTTCTCCGCGATCTCCAAGCGGAGTCGAGCGTGTTCGGCGGCCTTGCGCTCCCGGTTGTCTTCCGCCTTCTTCTTCGCGCGACGGACTTCCTCCTCGCACTTGGCTGTGATCTCCGCCAAGAGTCGCTCCCGGGCCTGCTGGGCAGCCAGGGCTCGCTCCTCCCGCTGCAGGTTCCGGGTGGCCGCTTTCGCCAAGGCAGCCCGGAGCCTGACTTTCTCCGCGTGCAATGCGCGGTCCGCGAGTCGAGCCTTGCGACTCTCGAGAATGGAGATCCGTCGGAGGTGATGTGCTACGTGTTCGGTCGAGGACGCGCCATGGGCGGGCCCGTTCAGGGAGGAGATCGAGCTGCGGCGGGAGGAGGCGGCGGAGGAGCGGCGAACGACACTCGGCTTGCGAGCAAAGCGAGCGGCGAGGTGGGTGGGCAGGTTCGAAGGTAGTGTTGGCTCATCAGACATCATCTCCACATCTGCTTCTGTCGGAGGTTCGGATTCGACGGAGAGAGGGGGGGCCGCATCGGAGAGTTGGACGTCGATGTCGGAGTTGCGACGGATCATATTCTGCGGTTGATTCCACGGGAAGCGGGGGGTTAACCGAGATATCGAGATATGAGAGGGCGATGACGAGACGGGATCGGGTAGATACGCAGGTTCCGTGGATGACCCCTGTATTGTATGTAGTAGAGAAGGAGAGTTGTGAATTCGTTCAGGACGGATCAGGCTGCAGTTCGGAGCATGCCTGAGAAGAGATCCGTGCTCCGTTTCAGAAGAGGAGAGTTTGGTTGGAGTGTCGAACTAGTAGGGAGTGAAAGTGTAAGTGTAAGTGTAAGCGTTTGTCAAAGTGAAGGAACAGTATTTAGTTGGGACAATGGGCAACAATGTCGAGGAGAACAGGCAGAAGCTAAGCAAGTCGACCAGTCACGAACTCAGCCCCGAAAGTAAGTTATGTATGATGATACGAGAGATAAGGCAGGGGAAAAGAAAGCATGGCTCTCCAGGGCGTCCATCATGGGATCGACCAGGGGAGGGAGTGTATTTCACCTTTCGTCGTCATCAGGCCGGAAGAAGAATGAAGCCCGTCGAAGCCGCCGCATCCAGCCGCGCTGACTAATCCCGATTTGCAATGCAGCTGCAGCACCGTGGACAGCATAATAGCAGCTGCAGGAAGCACCTAGCAGTTGGTAACGGATTATACCAGTATATGTAATTAAAACACAAGAGACAGAGAGAGTGGCAGAATTAGTAGTAGTTGAAATCAATAAACAAATCTAGACTATGCCTCCCCCTCATGCATGCGAGATGTGTGTTTCAATGCATCGCAAGTACCAACAACATTTGAACACCACCCACCGATCTCCAATAACAGACAAATCCTCGTCCCGGCAACTCAGACGCCGAATATAAATGCAAAATGTATCATCCGTAAGAAACAGAAATAAGCGAAGCTGCGGTCGAAGTCATGCATCACTAGACGCCCACCATGTCCGTAGCAAGATATCATACAAGTCACTTAGTTGGTCCAGCCAACTTTCGTCTTCGCCAATGTAGTAGGTCGTCACTTTTCAATTATGCTAAAGAGGTCAGCGGCTTGTCGGTCAAAGTCAGAAAGTATCCGCATCGGTAGCTAAGCAAGCCTATTTCACGCCGCTGCATGAATGGGAGGGTAGCATGCGACAAGCACCGACTGGTGACCTCAGCGGTGGCCAAAAATGTCAATACCCTCATCATCGTCTTCTTCCTCATCGCTACCGTCCTCTGAGCCGCTGTTCCCTGAGGCACCGTCACCCTCGTCTTCTTCAACATCGGCATCGGACGCGCCGTCGACGGACTCAGCTTCCTGCCCGAGGAAACCATAGCTGTACTTGAACTTGGTACCCCACAAGCGAAGTTCACCGCCATCTTCATTCCTTCCTCCGCCACCGCCGACGCCACCAAATGTGAGGCCGCTGAAGAAGGAAGTCGACTGCGACCGCTCCGAATCACGGTCAGGTGGAATGCCAAAGTAATTTCTAATGACGGGCGACACAGCACGATCACGAGTCAAGCTGTAGGAGGCGAATTGCCGACTCGAATCGGCAGACATGGGGACAGAAAGCCGAGAGTCGGGCCCGGGAACTGAGCTAGTGTCAATTCGCAGCGACTCGAACGCAGGCAGACCGCTCTCATCAGCGCCATGGGAGGAAGACCTGGCCCGCGGTGTCGATATCCCTTCGCTATCACTCTCCGGGGCAGAGGGGTCTGAAGCGTTGCCTCGAACCAGACGAATCTGTGCGGTATTGTACGATTCACACCTGTATCTCATTAGATCTTGAATAGGCATAGAGAAGCATCAAGACTCACAAATCACATCTCAATCCCAGCCAATGATATCTCACGACAGACTTCGCACTGCAGTCGTTGCAATAGACCAGAGCTTTGGTGTCCTTAAATTCCGCCGGCATAGGCTGGCTTTCAATGGTGCGATCCAGATTCCGGAATGTAGACTCCATGTTGGTGATGGTTTTGCTGCAGATCGGGCAGCGGTACGAGGTCTTGGAATACTCGGAAAGACACCGTTGGTGAATGCTGTGGCCACAACGCATGAATACTACAGTCTCCGGGGAAGTAAACATATAGTCTCCGCAAATGGGGCAATCGCATTGCGTGGATCGCTCAATGCATCGATGGGTGTTCTCGATAGATATAGGAAGGCAAACGCTACACGTCTGAGATTTGGTTAGCTTCCAGCAATGCTCAGCTGGGCTTATAGGTCTGCTCACCTTGCAATGGAAGAAGTCTTTCCCCAGACCTTTTCCAATGCGGCAGATGCCACAATCACCGCAGTGATATATACTCTTGTTGGCGTCGTTGTCCCAAAGCTTGCAGATATCGCAATAATACTGCGCCCCTTGTTCGCCGCACTTCCTGCAGGATTGTGCTGCAGGCTGGGCTTCCCCACACAGCATGCAGAGCATGTGCTCTGTTTTCGGCCGGTCCATACGGTGCTCCTCAACCTCGTCATGGCAGAAGCGGCATGTGTACCATTTGTTGCAGTCAAAACACTGCGCCTTGACGTTTGTCTTATAATGTGGACAACCAAGAAAGACTTCCTCAACCTCTTCGAGGTCCAGATCGTCAACCTCACAGGCAGGTGATTCTAGTTCTGGTTTCGGTGCATATGTCGGCACCAAATCTTCTGCCGTCAAATTATAAGAGATCTCGCCCTTGGCCGGAGTGGAGGACGAAGGTAACAACGACCGCTCCAAGGATATGATGCTCCATCGGCGAGCAGATTCGTCCTGCTTCGGACTCTGAGGAGTGAGAGGCGTCGGACTCCTGGGAGTACTCTGGTCGGCAGAGTCAACCCGGTGGAGATTGTATTTCTCGGTCATCAGTGCGTGGATCATGCGTGCCTGGTCTGTGTTGCTATAACCCACATCTCGAATCGCATGGATTCGTCTCCGTAAAGCACCCATTCCGTCGTCCTCTGGAAGTGCCGAAGGACCGGACTCGTCCGTCCCAACCATGTTACTCAATGCCTGCTCCGGGGTGTGCGAATGTGGACTTGAGGATTGGAAGACATCTTGCCTAGTCAGAGCTGAGACGGTCTGCTGTGGGCTGGTCAGGGGATTTGTGCGCGTCATCTGGGGAGATGTATTCTGTGATACGCCGGCATGACCTGCGTTGATTGTCCATCCAGCCGGAAACCGGTGTTCTGGTCCACGAGAAACTCGACTCGACGAACTGTTCGAAGGTGGAGTGGATGTGACAGGGCGGCCATCTTCAGACCCCGCATCTCCGGCATTTGACAGATCTATCGGGTTCGCTGAATCGATCATGACCGCCCTGTGAGGAAATTCGGTGCCATTGCTGGCCACGGACGAGGAACGATCTTTTTCAGCTGCGAGGGAGTCGGAGGATGGTGGTGGAGTGGTCTGTTGTGAGAGGCGACGGGCCTGCCGAACGACGGGTTCAATCAACAAAGAGGAGAGGAGCCCGCTCATGGAGTAGATCAAACAGCATCAGATGCAGGCAAAAGCATAGGAAAGATAAAAGGTTGAATAATTGGAGAAGGGAGCTACACCAGAAAAGGCTTGGGAGGCCTAGGATAAGGTAGGCAAGATAAAAGCAGCAAGGAATACGGAGTAACTCGAGACCGAAAACGGATGGGAGAGGGAGGGTCGGAGGGAGGAAGTGATTCGATCTCGGATGGTAATCGCTTCGTCAGCCGCTATGACGTTGAGGCCTGGGAGTCGGTGGTCCTTGTCTTGACAGGGTGGGTGGTGTTGAATAAGAACTGCACGCGTTCGCGGTTGCGCTGATGTATGCGTGAAGTGATATGTCGAACACTCTATGCAAAACTAACCCTCGTGTTTTTGCCAGGTCTTGAGTTGTATTTGCTGAGTTGGGGATTTGGTGGACTGAGCCCGCGAGAGGCGATCGGCCACTGCTCTGCGCAAAAGTGAGAGCTTGCTGGATTTGGCTTAGCTCAGGCCCATTTTCATGGTTACTTCCCACATCGGGCCTAGCGTAATTCGTGCCCGTCGGCAGTTTATCAAGCATGTGATAATGCTCCCGGGCCATCACTTAGGTAGCGTCCACGGTATAACACTACGGAGCAAGTTACAACACTTTCTACTCACTAGTTCTACCGTACTCACAATTGTCAATGTCCTATCATAGGTTTTCGGCATTCGATCTAGTGAATCTGACTTTGTTGAACAACAGCACACTCGACAATATGATACACTAACCTTCAATCCGCTTTTCTCCACCACTTACGCTGTTCCGACTAACCCCATATCAAGATCTCATACTATGGTAGCTTACTGCTTGGCGAACCATTGAACCGCCTTCAAAATAGCAACCCAATGGATGCATGCACTCACACTGATACTTGCTAAGCATTAAATCCCTGTTGGATACACCCTAAAGTCATAACAAGCATGCTGATCTTGTACCTGGAAGCGAGCATATCCATTATAGTATATTTCACTGAACTATCTACCAGTGGTTTTCATTCTTATGAGACGGGTCTAGACTGGGCGAAATCACTCTTCAAGAATCGGCTTCAGAAGCGGGATGTGGTAAGCTGTCTTCGAGACAAGCTGCATTACATGTCACGATCGACCTACTCTATCCAGGGATATACCTAGCAGCTCCTTGGAGCAGGTTCCGCGGCGTCCCACGGAGGAAGTCACCCATGATGTCAGAAGCTGCTGGGTCATACAGCCTGGATATAATAGGGTTGGTCTGCGTAGGCCCTATACCGATTCACTACTCGTTTTGGTATGTGGCAGCTTCCTGCAATCAGTCGATTGCTAGTGCCTATAAGCGATGCTTGCATGAGAGGTATATATAGTTTGCGTGCCGCGCCCTGTGGACCCGTACTGTACTCCAACAAGGCGAGCAAGAGGTCATGGCTCGCGTTCGATACCACAGAGCTGAGGAAATAGCATTCAAAATATACGATGGTGCACACATATAACAAGCAAAAGCAAAGGTCAATCCCGAATTCGCTGCTAAGTATGTGCGTGGTGAACGTTTCTGGTTCCGAGACGGTAATCTTCATACCAAGATTTCCGCCAGAATAGCCAGATCGTTGCGTTCAAGATGTTTATAGTACGATGACGTAGTTTCATTTGAAGTGATGAGCTCGTCAATAACAGATAGCGCTTCTTTTGAAAGGATCATTTGCAGATATATCATAAGTCAAGTCTGATGTGATATCAATCATGGATGGTACATACAGTTACTCCGTAAAATCTCGGGATGTCTTCCGAGCCAAGAATGGGAAGAAAGACAAACAGAACAAACCGCTTTGACTCAACCCAGATTTCTCTCCAATCCCTTCCTGTCGTTTGAACTGTTTCTCCTCTAGCATCGAGATAGAGGCCTGTGTTCAGTACTTGCTCATAGTCCTTCATTATGGGTGGCGTAGCTCAGCAGAGTTCCGTCCCGATCGAGATGGAAGCGACCTTGTCTCCGTCTCAACCTGCGACTGCAAAGACGCACGGCTCGGGCGTTTCGGACAATAACGAACATTTATTGAGCCATGGCCCAGAACCAGGCACTTCGCAGTTGCAGATTCAAAGGCTCGAATCGGGTCAAGATGCCCCGGTGGCTCGCAGCAACTGGAAGATCTTTGCGACCATGATTGCTCTTTCGGTATGTTACCGCAGCCAAAGCATGCTCGTTCCAGCCAAAGTTTTTGGTAGAGAGCCCAACTGATAAGCCCTTACTGATACGCGCATGTTCAAGCTTGCTCTTTTCATCTCAGCCCTAGACCAGACCATTGTGGCTACGGCCACCCCCACCATCTCGTCAGAATTGCACTCCGCATCGGGCTATGTCTGGATCGGAGGTGCATATCTCCTGGCCAATGCGGCTAGTTCTAATATCTGGGCCAATCTCTCCGATATCTGGGGACGGAAGCCCGTTCTGCTCACTGCCGTTGCCTTGTTCTTTGGCGCATCGATCATCTGCGCTACTGCGGTTGACATGCCTATGTTGATCGCGGGTCGTGGCTTACAAGGCATAGCTGGTGGTGGACTCATTCAGTTGATTACCATCACTATCTCTGACTTGTTTAGTGTTCGGTATGAGACCGATGCATACCCGCACCCTCGAAGTGATGAATGCTGACCTCCGAACAGACTTCGCAGCCTCTTCATGGGGCTCATCGAGTTCATTTGGGCTATTGCGGGGGCCATGGGACCTCTTGTCGGTGGTGCTTTCACCCAGTCCGTCTCCTGGCGATGGATTTTCTGGATCAACCTCCCAGTCTGTGGAACGGCATTTGTGCTACTTTTCTTCTTCTTGGACATTCACAACCCTAGGACGCCAGTGCTGGCCGGCATCAAGGCAGTCGATTGGTGGGGTAGCTTCTCCATGCTTGCCCTCATCATCTTGCTTCTGTTGGGGCTGGATTTCGGAGGAGCCACGTTCCCCTGGGGCTCGCCGAAAGTGATTTGTTTGATCGTATTTGGCGCCTTGATGTCGGTCGCCTTTATTTATAGTGAGAAGCGATTGGCTAAATATCCGCTCATGCCACTGGGTGTCTTCCACAACAGATCCAACGTTGCCTGCTTTCTGGTCGCGTTCACCCACGGCTTTGTGAGTCTGACCTGGATCCTCTTACCTTGTGGGCCACTTACTAACACCCAGGTGATCAGGCTTTCCTCGGATCGGAGTACTATCTTCCGACCTATTTCCAGTCAGCAAAAGAAGCGACTCCCTTCCACTCTGGGCTTATGATTCTTCCATTCGTGCTCACCGAAGCCGCTCTAAGTCTGTTTGCTGGTTTGTTTATCCATGGCACTGGCCGATACCTGGAGATCGTCTGGGCGGGAACCACCCTCGTTGTTCTCGGTGTCGGGCTATTCATCAATCTCGACACCACTTCATCGCTGGGTAAGATTATTGGATACCAGATTGTAACCGGCATGGGATGCGGCTTGCTCTTCTTCCCGCCCCTTCTTGCTCTACAGAGCAACGTTTCGCAACGGGACACTGCAAGCGCGACCGCAACATTTGGATTCATCCGCAACGTGGCGATGGCCATGTCGGTGGTTCTGGGTGGCGTCGTGTTCCAGAACAGTATGGAAATGCGGCAGGGAGATCTCCGCGCCGCAGGTTTGTCGTCGTCATATCTGGATGAGTTCTCGGGGTCGGAAGCTGCGTCCAATGTGGTGATCATCTCTTCAGTTCAGGATGCGGATCAACGTCATGCGGTAACCAACGCCTATGCCTGGAGTCTTCGTAACATCTGGATTCTGTATGCGTGTGTGGCGGCTGTTGGTTTTATTGCCAGCATGTTCATCACCCGGCAGCATCTTAGTCAGGAGCATGTGGAGACCAAGACTGGACTGAAGGAGAAGGAATCGACCAGCTCATAGTGGGCATCGTGAATGTCGCCGAAGATGCCAGTACAAAAAGGTTTGCTTCTAGCTAACGAATTAGTACATAGCTTGCATTGTTGCATTTGTATATGGGTGTCGTGATTGAGCATCAGCACAATGGCCCTTTCAAGTCCCAGCTGTCATAAAGAATCAATAGAACTCAGTTGACAGAACCATTTTCATTCAGAATCCAAGGCTTCAGAGTTGAAAAGAATGGGCCATCGGAGGTCTGAAAGTGATTGTGGCGCGTCTCATTCTGGTAGGAACGAAAGGCGTTTGGGTGCTAACGCAACCCCAAGAAGGCCGATGACAGGAGCGAATCGGCCACATGGTTGTGAAATGTATTAAAGGCTTAGCGCCGGTCACTTCTTAAGACACTCCCGCAACGCCACGCAGCGACAGAAACGCAACTCGCGGAAGCCGGCATGACAGCCCAGAACTGAAACCGCCCTCGTGGAACGCTTGCTGCTTATTGGGGTTGGTTGCATGACAATGTCGCATCCGCTAGGATCGCAGAGACAACTCCTGGAATGATCATCCAGGTGTCGGAGTGATGGGCTAAGTCTTGAGCAGGCAGGGCACCCCTAAAGCTTGGGGGCTGATATGCCTGGACAACATCCGATGATGGCAGTTCGGCATCCAAGTCGCATTCCGACTGGTCACCTCGTATAGCTCGGTACGACTAAAGAGATCCAGAGCCCCTGGTCCAAGGATGTCGATCAAGAGACAAATATGTTTCATCTCGGATGCTAACTGCGAGGGCGAATATGAAACCATGGTCAGCGCGCGTCACTCCCAACTAACAATATAACTAATCATGATTACTCAACGGTTGAGAACCATCATATCGCCAAGCCTGTTGGTCAATTGCTGGTTAGAAGTAATCACAAGGATTGGACTGTTGCATCTCTCACTCAGTGGAGTATCTTCGTGCCGCTTGTGTTATGTTTTCGAGACGTTGCCAGGATTGGGCCATTTCATTGCCCGTGTTGCTGGAGGCATTCGATAAATATGGTGGACTCTGCTGGTGGGACGGAGAGACCAAGGACCTATGACTTCTACTGCCATTGTGTCACAGCCACTGGCTAGTTTGGCTCTTAGCGAACAAGAACAGTAGAGACTCAAACAGAGACCTGTTAGCTCACTCATGACAGTTTATTAATCAGATCTTAGCTTTGCGGCAGGAACAATGAGCGGACGAACCGGAATCCCCGGCGAGGATACCGTGAGAATTCTGGCGACAGTGCAATGGTCCTGAAGCAAATGAGTTGGTGGGTCAAGTTGGGGGCGAAGGAGGAAAGTCGACGGATGTTGGCTGCGAGTCAGGAAGTAAGCAAACGTCGGTCGTGGGGGCGGTGGGCACTGGGCAGAGCTTCAGTTCTCCTCCATCTCACTTTTCCTTTACTGGTAATGAGCTTTCCCTTGGAGATCCAGCCCCCAATCATTACTTGCACTATTTCCATACCTACCAGACGGTGATACTCTAGCTGAGGGGCCACGATGTCTCTACAGCATCTCAAAGTCCATTGCGTTGTTGGATTGTCTGAAACCGTGGGCAAGAAAGGGCGTTACAAATGAATGCATCGACCAAGATGAGGGATAAAAAGGTTGTAAAAGACCCAGATCCGGTCAAACCCAGATAGCCTCATCGCACAGCAAGATCTGAACTATGCTCAGGAAAACCTTCTTGCTGGCCCTTTGGGCTAGTGGTGTTGTTACCGGAGGAGCCCTGGCGGCCGATCCAAATGCCAACTCAGTCGAGTCTTATGACTCTATTGCGACAGTGGCAGATATTGTGGAATACCCTGATCCTCACAAGAATCTCGCCAGACATGGCTTGGCCTATGTCCTGCAGCGGAGGAAGCACAAGTCTAGCAGCAGCAGCAGCGGTAGTACTATATGGGGGCACAGCGGTGGTAAAGACACCACCACAAAGGCAGAGCAGAAGAAGACGACTACCACCAAGAAAGAGGAGCCGACAACCACGAAGTCGACGACGACCACCCATACGACCACCACTACAACTACGACTACGACGACCGAGGAGAAGCATACGACCACCTCCAGCTCGAAGACAACTGCTTCCTCCACCACGACATCAACCACGAGCACCACCACTAGCACAACCACTTCGCATGCTTCTACCATAACTTCGACTTCATCTACTACCACTATTCCGTCTACCACTAGCAAGACCACAACTTCAATATTCACCAAGACTCCTGAGGCCGAGCATTCAGCCACTGCAATTAGTTCAAAGTCAACATCGTCATCCACTACGACCTCTAGAACGTCCACTCTTGCAGTCCAGCACTCGTCGACTACAACCAAAGAAACAAGTTCTAAGTCTGTTACAAAATCCATCGAAGTGGAGCATGGATCTACGAGCAAGATTGATACGACCACCAAGTCTGTCACAAGCACAACAGAGCTGAGCCATGCTTCTTCGACCAGGGCCGAGATAACCTCCAAGTCTGTCACAAGCACTGCAGAGCTGAATCATACCTCTTCAGCCAGAGTTGAGACATCCTCCAAGTCTATAACAACCCCGGTGGAAGCGGGGCACACTCCTACAACCGGTAGAGAGACTGCGTCTAGATCCGCGACACGCTCTGTCGAGGCAGGCCATGCATCTTCCACTGCGGCAGTGCACACGTCTGCTACCAGGCTTATCAATACCTCGCATCATGCTCAGCACTCGGTCACGGCAACTAGCATACATGCTATTCATACACCCGGCGCAGATCACTCGGTTAGTGCAAGTGTTCATGTTGGTAGCAGCACTATCGGAGAGCCCAGCGCTGTGCCGTCGACCGTGCCGGATTCCGAAGATGACGATGGTGATGATGAGGGCTCTTCAGACGACGGGTCTTCAGATGACGGTTCATCAGATGATGGCTCCTCAGACGACGGTTCTTCAGACGACGGCGCCTCAGATGACGGCTCCTCAGACGACGGCTCCTCAGACGACGGCTCTTCAGACGACGGCTCTTCAGACGATGGATCCTCAGATGACGGCTCCTCAGATGACGGCTCCTCAGATGACGGCTCCTCAGACGATGGTTCTTCAGACGACGGCTCTTCGAACGACGACGGGTCCTCAGATGACGGCTCCTCAGACGATGGTTCATCAGACGATGGCTCCTCCTCGGACGGCTCCTCAGACGATGGTTCGTCAGACGATGGCTCCTCCTCGGATGGCTCCTCCTCGGACGGCTCCTCCTCGAACGGCTCCTCGGACGATGGGTCCTCAGACCCCAACAACAGCCAAAGCCCACCCACCCCCTCCTCCTCCACCCCCCTGATATACGGCAGCTCGACCTCGGCCGCAATCCCCTCCTCGACACCCGCCGCCTCCAGCTTCCGCCCCGCCTGGGCCTATCCATCCTCGACCTTTAGCATCATGGCTTCCTCGACACCACAGATCACGCCGGGCGCGACACCGGTTGTTTAAAGGCCTGATCACACACCACACACCGCACACCACATACAGATCCCTAGACTATGGTATAGTCTGTCCATCACTCGTTCTGAATTTTCTTATCCTGCACTTGTGTAAACATTTCTCGATCACATTGACCATACTGTCCTTGACCGACTCACATTTCTTTCCTGTGTCATACTTCCTTTTGATTCTTTCGTTCATTTATTCTGATTTGAATGTATCTGTTTTAGTTGTTGATAAGAGGGATGGATTGGTTTAGCTGAGCTAAATTATGACCGACTACCTAGTAGGTTAGTAGTTATGTTTTTCTTACCCTGACGGTTTTGATTGGTTGCAATGCTTCGATTAGAAGGACTGCTCATTAAAACTACTGTAGACCCTGCCGCAGTATTTGAGATCTTAAGATCTACGTTGTACTTTGTGGAACTACGATAATTTAATAGCCACAACGTCCAGTGTCAGAAAGCTAATGCATTAAAACCCATTATCCAAGAAAACCCGCTCCCGTGGCAGGCCATCCTCCAAAGAAAAACTCTCTCATCATCACCATCTAATCCAAGAACACCAACCGCCCATTCTGATTCGAGATCCTCTCATCCAAGCGGATCCAGCTCCTCTTCCACCCGCCATTGCCATCGCCCAGATCCGCCACCAGGACGCGGCCCCCATCCTCGAGGTGGACGTTGCTCGCCGAGGCGGCGAAATTGCCGTGGCGGGCCCACTTGAACTCGCCCCAGGAGTTGGTGAGGACGTCGTTGAGCGGGATGACCGAGCGGTGCTGGCGGCCGTCGACGTCGCCGCAGTAGGCCACGAGCTCATGGTACCCCTCGAGCCGGATCTCGCGGGAGGAGCCGGAGAAGTTCCCGCGGAAGGTGTTGCCGGAGCGACTGTGGTGATGCTTACGTTCGTCATCGGATGAGGACGACGACGAGGACGACGACGAGGAGTGCCGGCGGTGGTGGCGGTCGGTGCGGCGCTGCATCTTGCGCTCTTCCTTCTCGCGGCGCTTCTGCTCCTTGAGGGCCTCCTTCTGCCGGCGGAGGGCTTCCTTTTCTTCCTCCTCTTTCTTCTTGCGGTGGTTCTTGATGGCGTCTTCCGCGACGGAGCCCGTCAGCGCCCCGCCGATCGCGCCCAGGAAGCCGTGGTTCACCTTGTGGCCTGCGAAGGCGCCGGCCGCGCCGCCGGTCACGGCCCCTAGGAAGCCGCGGTCTTGGTCGTCCGTGGCGCCCGGCGGGAGGTTGGGGTTGGTGCTGTAGGGTGGGGGTTGTTGGGGGCCTGGCTGCTGTTGCTGTTGCTGCTGCTGCTGGTAGGGGGAATATGGGCGGTCATTGTAGGGTGCTCCTCCTTCTTGTGGAGGGTACGGGGGGTAGCCGGAAGGAGTGGGGGAGGGTCCTCCGTGCTGAGGGTACGGAGGCTGCGGCTGCTGTCCGTACGGCTGGTGGGGGTAGCCTTCGCCGCCTAGGGAGGGGGAAGGAGAAGGTCCGTTCCATGACCCCTGCGCCATCCTGGGGTCTGGTGGGGAGGCATAGTAGTTCTGATTGGCGTTGGGGTTGGGATTGGAGTTCGGACGATAGTAGTTCTCGGAGGAAGGATAGGGACTGTAGGCGCCGGTGCGAGGCGTGTCCGGTCCAGGCGTCGATGAGTTCCAGGGTCCAGGAGTGTGGGATTCCTCCCGACGAGGAGGGTTTTGAGAAGACCCGCCGAAGTATTCTTGTGCTGACATCGGGGTTGGCTGGTGAGTTTGTGAGCTGAAATGTCTTTGTGGGGGTTTTGTTTCTGGAAGTGAAGACCAGAGAAAAATGGAAGTAAAAGGAGGACAGTGAAGTGGGGAAGAGAAAAGAAAGAGCGAGAGTAAGAGCGAAGAGTTGGGCTAGCTATATAAGCGCTTGCTTGTAGAGGAAGCGAAGCAGCGTTGATTCACTGCCCAGTGCCTTGGCCCCCCCCGTCGTGGCTGTGCTGGGCAATAATCGCCTATCTTTCTTAGGTAGTTTTGGTACCTAAACTTCAATCCTCAATATGATCATGGATTTGTTTGGTTCCTGCCTGTTCCAGGCAAGCATAAGGCTGACGCGACTCAGACACTGCCACATCCTGGCGGGGGAGATTCTGTGGCTGAGACACCCAGAGTGGGGATTCTCCATTTGCAATTTCCCAGGCCAAGGATTGATCCAGGGGATCAGGTTAAGTCGGGCATAATAATGAGTAAGTCATGCACATGCACAAGCGGATAGTCTCGGATGGCAGACATAAATTTAATGCTCGCAATGTTAGGTCATGACTCTTAGTTAAATAAGCGTTAGTTAGTTATCTCACTATAGCGATATACATAGGACACTATAATTACAAGCTACACCACCGAGCAACAAGCAACAGTCTCATAAATCTAGACTGATTCCTTAACCACGAATGGTCAATTACCCAATCGACGCTCCAGAATCGGCCTCTTCCGCCGGTTGCAGATAACGGCGAGTGCCGATAACTTATCAGCTAACGTTAGTCGCCTAGGTAGTCTGGACCAGATAGATATAGTGGACTGGACTGAAGAGGAGAAACCGAGCTCTCGACCGAGAACCCCATTCCCCCAGACTTTCTTTCTTTACTATAAATCACCTCCAGACCCTTCTCTCCTCACCTCACCTCACCTCACCTCACACCGAACCCCCCTCAACCCTCAACCCTCATCCCACCAATTCAAACAACCTCCTCCAATTGCCAACTGCCATCACCAATTGACCACCGGCACCATCAGCATCATGTCCCCACCAACCCTGACCTCACCAACTCCAACCCTGACCCTGACCCCGGAACCGCTCACCCCGTCCGCCTTCCACCCCTACGGCACAGCCATCACCTCACCACTGCCCCGCACCGTGGCCACCCCACCACCGGCCTCCGCCCTGACCGCGCTGCACCCGACCCCCGTGCTCGCCAACCAGAACACCGCCCTGAAGTACAGTCCCATCTCCCCACTGGACGACCACTACGGCAGCACCTGCCCCAGCGGCCGGGCCTCGTCCGCGCGCATGACCATGTTCTCCTGCTTCCCGCGCACCCTGCGCCCGGCCGGGAAATCCGCCGCCGTCTTCGACATCCGCATCCTCGAACGCCACCCCTACACCACCCAGACCTTCTCCCCGCTCGACCTCTCCAGCCAGCCGGCCACCGGGCCCGGCCCGGCCCAGACCCCCGCGCCGGAGCCCTACTATCTGGTCGTCGTGGCGCCCTCGCTCAAGGGCACGACCGCCCAGGCCACCACCCGCTCCGGGGAGGTGGTGACCGTCGCCGACCCGCCGGATCTGAGCCGCGTCAAGGCGTTCGTCGCGCGCGGCGGGCAGGCGGTCACCTACGGCGCGGGCACGTGGCATGCGCCCATGGCGGTGGTCGGGAACCGGCGCGTGGACTTCTTGGTCGTGCAGTTTATGAATGGCGTGGCGGAGGAGGATGTGCAGGAGGTGGTGTTTGGGGAGGGGGTCGTGGTGGAGGTGGAGTCGGGACTGGGCGTGAAGGCTAGGCTTTGAGGGGTGGGAGTGGTGGTTTACGGCGGTGGGATTGAAGGTTTGGGGGTGATTGGGGCGTGGGGTATATTGTATATTGGAGGGGGAAAAGTAGTGTACATAGATTATGTGGGAGATATCGAGATGGGGTGGGTAGGTGGGGAATATAATGTACTGTACATATATGCTAAAGTGTGCGCTGTGCTGAATGGGGAGAGGGATTGGATGCTTGCCGCGATGGGTGTGTTTTATGCTGGGGCTGATGTCTGGCTGCACTGCTCTGGATTAGTGGCTAGTCCTTGTTGACGCACACGTCGCGCCAGTTCAATAGTCTCCGAGGGCAATCCGGCTAGCTGGGCGACTTTCAGCGCGTGCGATTCACGGTTCACGCCCTTGCGCAACCGGTGCACGAACGAAAACCCACCGTTGGCCGTCTCCTTGACATCGGTGCAATACCGGCCCAGCGACTCGAAGTCTTGGGTCATGTCTGCCAGCGCGTGGAAGTGGGTTGCAAAGAGCGTGCGGCAGCGGTTGTGATAGTGCAGGTGGTGCAGACACGCAAAGCTCACCGCCGTCCCATCCTCCGGGGTCGTGCCCCGACCCACCTCGTCCATGATGACGAAGGAGCGCGGAGTCGCCTGCTTCAAGATGGCCGCCGTCTCCAGCATCTCGACCATGAAAGTCGACTGATCGCGGAACAAGTCGTCGGCCGCGCCAATGCGACTGAAGATCTTGTCGACAATGCCCATCTCCGCGTAGTCGGCCGGAACCAAGGACCCCACTTGCGCCAGGATCGTGATCAGGGCGTTCTGTCGGAGAAAGGTGCTCTTGCCGGCCATGTTGGGCCCGGTTACCAGCCAGATGCGGTCCGGGTCGCCCAGGAAGCAATCGTTGCTGACGAACCGCCGGCCCTGCTCCTCCAGACCCAGCTTGACCGTGGGATGTCGACCGCCTACAATCTTGTGGCATTTGCCCTCGACGAGGATCGGACGGACTAGCCTCTGTTCGTGGGCCAGGGTGGCAAAGGAGCATGCCACGTCCAGCTCGTCCATCACGGCTGCGTTACGGCGGATCTTGACAAGATTGAGGATGACCTCGCGGCGCAGCGTCTCGAAGATCGCCTGTTCTTCCTGCCGAATCTGAAGCTTGACTTGGTCCATCTGGCCGCCCAGCTCGGTCCACGCCGGCAGGTAGAAGGACCGGGTAGACTTGGTCATTGAGACATTCCGTGTCACCCCCAATTCTTCTAATGACTCTTGGGAGATCTTAGCAGCTTTGACGTGACAGATGTGGCCTAGACCCGGTGTCCATTTGAGGGAGAGGGCTGTCGACCCCACAGCGTCGCGAAGGCGCTGGGTGAGTTCCGCTTTCTCGTTGTGCAGTCGGTCTAATTCCTCGTGGAGGTCATGGAGAGCCGGGCTGGCATCGCGCCGCATGATCCAGGTCTCGAGGGTCGACGCCTCATCGGTTGCCCCGCTGCCACCTCGTTCGCCGCTCTTCGTCCTGACCTTCTTCGGCAGTGTCTCTATTTCGCCCGGTAGGGCTTCACTGAAGGCTACCTCCTGTGCAAGCATTGCCGCTTCAGCAGCCGTGTCGTCCTCGATGCGTTGCTTCTGTAACAACCCCTCTTCATCAATCGCCGCCAAGATCTTCTCGGCCAGGAGGATAGGCCCATTCATGTACAGGCGATCCGTCATGGATTTGAGGCTCTGAGCTGCTGGTGTATCCTTGCATTTGCGCTTTTTGCTCATCAACACCCGCCTGATCTCCTTTGAAGCTTCAATGGCTCGAGATAGACATATCAGGTCATCTGCATCTCCCCGCCCCAGAGTGAATTTCTGAACCAGCCGCTGCGCGTCATAGCTCCGCTTCAAGTAATTGATGACATTGCGGTGTAATTCTGCGTCGTCGATGAATGTACACACAAGATCCAATCGTTCGTTAATCACAGTCATAGACGTCGAAGGTGATGCTGCGATGTGGATTAGCATAAGAATGATGACTAGGCATAAGTGGCTATGGGCATACTTAGGCGATCACGTAGCAACCGGGCACCGCTTTTGGTCGAGGTCCTGCTCACCGCATGAAGCAGACTTCCTTTCCCAAAGCCATCCCGGGCTGTCTCTAGTATTTCCAAGCCCCTTAGGCTGTTCCGGTCAATGCTCATGGATTCGTCCAGATCTCGACGGCGCGGAGGCTGAAGCTTCATATTCAACCCTTGTAGCTGCACCCGGATGTATTCAAGAAGGCTGAAGCCAGCAGCCACTTCCTCCGAGGTGAAGGACGCCGCGGCTTTGGCAGATATGGGTGCTTCAAGCACAGGGCCCCACTTCGTCATGGGCTCGATCTTCGAAGGGAATGGGAAAAATGTCATCAACCGGTGGTCGTGCCCGGTCAGCAGCTGCAGCTCTTGCCTGACCCCGTCTCCTAGCGCTTGATCCACCAGGATCTCACGAGCGCCGATCCGGGCAATAGCCGACGGCAGCATTTGCGCCGTGGTGACCTGAGTGAAAAAGTCGCCGGTGGAGAGATCCAGCCAGGACAAGCCTACATTCTGAGACGTGGATGGCAGAACGTGTTGCTTCGTAGCCCCATCGTCCTGCTCTACCTGCTCTTTCACCGAGCTGCCATCTATATAGATTGCCAGCAGGAAGTTATTCTCGGAAGGATCCATGAACTTCTCATCAATCAAGGTACCAGGTGTGATGATCCTCGCGACCTTGCGATCGAATTGAAGACCCCCGGTGCGAAGCTTGCCCTCGGCATCGTTGGCGAACTCCTCACTAATGGCCACATACTTGCTTAAGTCCTGAACAAGTATCTTGAGGAACCGGTCCAGTTGGAAGAAAGGGAAGCCGGCCATGTATACGGGCCCAGCGCTTGTTCTTCTTATAGCCAGTTTAAGGTTCAGCAAGGGAGCCAACTCTTCGGCTTGTTCGAAATACAGCTATACTCAAGTCAGCAACTATACGCACAAAGGAAAGCTTGATATTTGATTTAGTTCATGTCTTCATACCTCGTAGAATCCGCCAACACGGGTCAACACCACGCAGTTCCTAAACCTTTGCATATTGTTCCGATGCCCCTGCAAAACGACAGGGTACTGAGGGCCATCATTGGCGCCATCATCATAGGGTTCCAATTTCAACGCCCCTTGAGGCAAGTCTTTGAGTTTCACAACAGATTTAGATTTGGCAGTTCTATGCGGGACTATGGAGGTAGGGGTCGCCCTAGGAATGCATAGATTCGGCCTCCGGGCATGATGACAGATGGTGCGGTGGACATGACAGCGGTAAGGAGGACAGCCAGTCCGACCAACACTGGAATGTAGTTGCGTGTTAATCAGATGGGAGATCGATACTCCATGAAAGCGCATCGTCTCGACCCCGTTTGCGCCGACTTCTCGTCTGTCTTCGCGTGCCGAGAAGAATTCCTTGTATACGCGTTGAAGCTTGACCGAATCGGATAAGAAAGCGGCGGCAGAAACCAGGGCGGGAGATCGATGCCTCAGGCTGCCTCAGGCTGCCACAGGATGTAGCTGTTCCCGTTCGTCAAACCTTCCCGCTTTGCCACTCAAATCTGCTCAGGCTGGGACGAGACCTTGCCGAACTTCGCTAACGCCAACTCCTTCAACTCCGCAAGAATCCCTCCTCCTCCTCCTCAGCAGCTCGCAACCTTGCCGCCGACGAGTGTGCTTTTTCTTGTCGGAGGATGGTCCGGGTTTGTGAAACCTAATTGAACGACTTTACACTATTATACAGAGCCACTCTCATCTCATCAAGTGCTTGTCGCCGGTGCCAACCACGCGCCCGCCGGCTGAATCTGAGCTCCACCGAGCCTCAGACCACGACTCACCTGCACTCACCTCACGATCGTTTTAGTTTTCCCTTCTTATCTATACCTTGCTTTTTCCATCAGAGAACCATCAAAATGGCCGACCAAAATATCTCCCAGTACAAATACTCGGCGATGTCCAACCTGGTTCTCCAGGCGGACCGTCGTTTCATCTCTCGCGTCAACGATGAACCCACCGGTGACCCGGAGTCCCTCGCCGGCCGCATCAGCATTCGGGAAATGGGCTCGAGGATGGCGCGTGACGATGCGCCGAAGACGAAAAAGAAGGCCGGTTTGACGGACATCGAGCGAGGGTCCATCCGCGAAGGCGAGGATGTCCTCGCTCGCGAACAGAGAAAGACTCAGCGGGGTCAACCGGCGCAAGTACGCGGCCAGGGCATTCTGTCCGCTGCCGATGCCCTCGTCGAGGGCCTGAAGTACCGTCCTCGCACCCCTGCCACCCGAGCCACCTATGACCTCATCCTCACAATGACCGCCAGCCATCTGGGCGATGTACCACACGAAGTGGTCCGCAGTGCGGCGGATGCAGTACTGGAGTTACTCAAGGACGATGATATGAAGGATTTCGACAAGAAGAAGGAGATCGATGACTTGCTAGGCAGTTCGATGAATCCCAAGGAATTCAATGAGCTTGTCAACCTGGGCAAGAAGATCACGGATTACGATGCCCAGGATGATGACGAAGAGATGGGTGACGGTCTGGCTGGCGAAGGAGAGGCGGAATTGGATGAGCGCCAGGGTGTTGCTGTCGTTTTCGACGAGGAGGATGAGGACGATGAGCGCATGGGCACTCTGGACGAGGTCCGCGACGACGACGAACTTTCCGAAGACGAAGCCGACCAACAGGAAGTCCCTGGTATTGATGACGCAACGACTGAGAAAGCAGACCTTGAAGGATTAGAGGACGCTGAAGAGATGGTCATCGACGGCGGGTTAGGCCGTGGCGACGAACACGGCAACAAGAAAACCACAGTTCTTGCACGAGAAATCGATGCTTACTGGCTTCAGCGCCAAATCGGCAATGCATACCCGGATGCTCACGTACAACATGAGAAGGCGACTCAAGCGCTCGAGATTCTCGGAGGTAAAGGAGAGGATGGCGAGGTGCGACCTCTTCGCGACGTGGAAAATGACTTGATGGATCTCTTCGATTATGAGCAGCCCGAGCTTGTCGCCACTTTGGTCACCAACCGCGATAAGATCGTATGGGTCACCCGTTGGCGCCGAGTCGCTGAAGACGCGGATGCCCGCCATCTGGTCGAGAGTGAAATGGTTGAAGCTGGGCACCGCGCTATTTTGGACGAGATCCGGGGCAAGACCAACCGCGATGAAGGCGCGGGTCGTCCCTCGAAGAAGATCAAGCTAGACTTGATGGATATGGATGTTCCCAACGCTCCTGAGCAGCCGGAAGAGAAGAAGGAGGATGGAGGATTGGTTCGAGGCCTGCAGCCGAAGAGATTGATCAACCTGGAGAACCTTGTGTTCCATCAAGGTAATCACTTGATGACCAACCCTAGCGTCAAGCTGCCCCAGGGCTCGACGAAGCGGACGTTCAAGGGATATGAAGAAATTCATGTGCCTCCTCCCCAGGCTAAGAAAGAGCCTGGCGAGAAGAACCTTCCTACGACCGAGCTGCCCGAGTGGGCTCGCGTTGGCTTTGGGAGTTCGAAGGAACTCAATCGGATCCAATCCAAGTGCTTTCCCACCGCTTTTCACGATGATGGCAACGTGCTTGTCTGTGCCCCCACCGGTTCAGGAAAGACTAATGTTGCCATGCTTACCATCCTCCGTGAGATTGGCAAGAACCGGAACCCGCAGACGGGAGAGATCATGCTGGATGACTTCAAGATCATCTACATCTCTCCCTTGAAGGCCCTGGTACAGGAACAGGTCGGGAACCTCGGCAAGCGTCTTGAGCCTTATGGCATCAAGGTGGCGGAACTGAGCGGTGATCGTCAACTTACGAAGCAACAAATTGCTGAGACTCAGATTATCGTCACGACTCCTGAGAAGTACGATGTCATCACTAGAAAGGCCTCGGAGACGAGTTACACCAGACTCGTCCGTCTGATCGTCATTGACGAAATTCACCTTCTCCACGACGAGCGTGGTCCTGTCATCGAGAGTATCGTTAGCAGAACCATCCGCAAGGTAGAACAGACTGGCGACCCAGTCCGAATTGTTGGTCTGAGTGCTACGCTCCCTAACTACCGGGATGTTGCCAGCTTCCTGCGTGTTGATCCTGCGAAGGGCCTGTTCCACTTCGATGGCTCCTACAGACCTTGTCCTCTCAAACAGGAGTTCATCGGCGTTACGGATAAGAAAGCCATCAAGCAGCTGAAGACCATGAACGATATTTGCTACAACAAAGTCCTTGAGCAAGTCGGACAAAAAAGGAACCAGATGCTCATTTTTGTCCACTCTCGAAAGGAGACCGCCAAGACCGCCAAGTACATCAGAGACAAGGCTCTTGAGATGGAGACCATCGGCCAGATTCTGCGCAGTGATGCTGCAAGCAGAGCTATCTTGGCCGAAGAAGCTGAGTCGGTTGATGACGCCTCGCTCAAGGATCTGTTGCCTTATGGATTTGGTATTCACCATGCCGGTCTCAGTCTTGCTGATCGAGACTCCGTCCAGGCGCTTTTCGCCGACGGCAGCATCCAAGTCCTTGTATGTACCGCAACTCTTGCCTGGGGTGTCAATTTGCCTGCCCACACGGTTATCATCAAGGGAACTCAGATCTACTCGCCTGAGAAGGGTAGCTGGGTCGAACTCAGCCCTCAAGATGTCCTGCAGATGTTGGGCCGTGCTGGACGACCTCAATACGATACCTTCGGTGAAGGTATCATTATCACGACGCAAACCGAGATCCAGTATTACCTCTCCCTTTTGAATCAGCAATTGCCAATCGAGAGTCAGCTCGTGAGTAAGCTCGCTGACAATATGAATGCCGAGATTGTTCTCGGAAACATTCGTACTCGTGACGAGGGAGTTGACTGGCTGGGTTATACCTACTTGTTCGTCCGCATGCTCCGCTCACCTGGCCTCTACAGTGTGGGTGCGGACTATGAAAATGATGACGCCCTTGAGCAAAAGCGCGTTGACCTTGTTCACTCTGCAGCTGTGATTCTGGAAAGAGCAGGCCTCGTGAAGTATGACAAGAAGACGGGTCGTATGCAATCCACGGAGCTTGGCCGTATCGCCTCCCACTACTACATCGGCCACAACTCCATGTTGACCTACTCCCAGCATCTCCAGCCTAACATCACCACGATCGAGCTGTTCCGAATTTTCGCTCTTAGCGACGAGTTCAAGTACATTCCGGTCCGTCAGGATGAGAAGCTGGAACTTGCGAAGCTACTTGGTCGTGTACCTGTCCCTGTCAAGGAGGGAATTGACGAGCCTCATTCCAAGATCAATGTCTTGCTCCAAGCTTACATCTCTCGCCTCAAGCTGGAAGGGCTTGCCCTGATGGCAGATATGGTTTATGTTACCCAATCAGCTGGTCGTATTTTACGCGCTATTTTCGAGATCTCATTGAAGAAGGGATGGTCATCCGTGGCCAAGACTGCTCTCAACCTGTGCAAGATGGCTGAGCGGCGCATGTGGCCCACGATGACACCCCTCCGTCAGTTCCCGACTTGCCCAAGAGACATCTTGCAGAAGGCGGAGAGAATCGACGTGCCTTGGGGTAGCTACTTCGACCTTGATCCTCCTCGCATGGGTGAGCTCCTGGGTATGCCCAAGGCTGGACGTGTTGTCTGCGATCTTGTCTCCAAGTTCCCTCGTCTGGAGGTCCAGGCACAGGTTCAGCCCGTCACTCGCTCCATGCTACGGGTCGAACTGACGATCACCCCTAACTTCGTTTGGGACGAGACTCTACATGGCTCCGCTCAAGACTTCTGGATTCTGGTGGAGGATTGCGATGGAGAGGAGATCTTATTCCATGACCAGTTCCTTCTGCGGAAAGACCACGCACAATCCGAGATGAACGAGCATCTTGTTGAGTTTACCGTTCCCATCTCCGAGCCCATGCCTCCGAACTACTTTATTTCGCTGGTATCTGATCGCTGGATGCACTCGGAAACCAAGATTGCCGTCTCCTTCCAAAAACTGATCCTTCCCGAACGTTTCCCGCCCCACACTCCTCTCTTGGACATGCAAAGAGCACCAGTGAAGGCATTGAAGCGCGAAGATTTCCAGCAGCTGTATCCCGACTGGCAGTTCTTCAACAAGATCCAGACGCAGACTTTCAAGTCCCTCTTCGACACAGATGACAACGTGTTTATTGGTGCTCCCACGGGTAGCGGAAAGACTGTGTGTGCCGAGCTTGCGTTGTTGCGTCACCTGTCCCAGCAGGATAGCGGCCGCGCTGTGTACCTTGCTCCATTCCAAGAGCTCGTTGACCAGCGTCTGGCGGACTGGCAGAAGCGACTGAGCCAACTTTCCGGCGGCAAGAACATCGTCAAGCTTACTGGCGAAACCACCGCCGATCTCAGACTTCTAGAACGAGCCGATCTC